CAGGCTAGGGTTTCTAGGAAGGGAGGGGACATTTCTGCAGGCTGACCACAGCATCTCGGACGCGATGGGTTATTTCAGCTACCAGAGAAGCACAATTCCCAGCACCAATGGGAGCCAACACTCCCAATTTCCCCGGAAAAAAAGGCATCGTCCAACCCCTCGGAGGAGTCAGGGCGACATGAAGACCCTCTCCACTTCACTGCTGGGAAATGGGGTTGACTCCACCTTTGGTATCTCCTGCCTGGAGCAAGGGGTGCTCACTCGGAGGCATCTCGGGTGGTTTCAAAGCTGCACCCTCAGCCCCTGCTCCAGGGAGATGCCGCCAGAGCAGGTCACTTCCCAGCACGGCGAATCAGCTTAGCCCCAAAACACAACGGTTTCCCACAATAAATCCTCCCGTTCGTTCTGGGAAGCGATTTGATCTGCCCCGAAGGAGACCAACGGCCCCCGAGACCCTCCCAGCTGCTGGGTACAAGGACCAGCTGCCGCTGTGGCCGCTGGGCAGCTGCGGAGCTGGTTGACCCCAGAGCCAGGCGAAGCGCCAAACCCCAGCAAGGGTCACCACAGGCGCCTCACCCAGTGGGTTTGGAGGCACTGGGGGGTGGCAGGGAGGGTCAGCAGAGCGGCCCTGGGAAGAGATGTCCTCTCCTCCCCTCAGCCCGTGCCTGGCCTCTCCGCCGTCTTCCCAAGGACATTGCTCTTAAATCCTGCAGCACCTTCCCCTTAGCTAACACTGCTGGTCCATCCTGGCCAAATCATCAGTCTGATAAATCACCTCCAGTTCATCCCTTCCAACAACCCAGCTCCTTTCCACTCACCCTACAGCTCTTGGCCACCCTTCCTACTGCCCAATAGTTAAGACTAGGATTAATGAGCTCCCTGTTGCATCCTCTGCTTTCCCTGTCCATCGCCACAACGGGCCTTAGAAACTCGACGTGGGACCTGCAGACTCAACATCTCCATCCAAGTCCCACCAGGAAGCCCTCCAGGTCCAGGACCCAGCCGGGCGGTGTGGGGGAGAGGGGCCATCTCTGCCCTTACCTTTTCATCCAGGCTGACGGCTCGTCTGGTCCGGCCCCCGAGGAGCCAGTGTGGGGTGACCCGCTCTCCGTGGGGAGGTGGCCCTGGGAAAGAGAAGACCCGGTGAGCGCACGGACAGACCTTGCAAGCCCCCTGTGAGCGGGAGCTCCTCCGCAGCCACGTCAAGAGAGAAATAGGGGGGGGGGAAAAGGAGAGAGCTGAAGGGTCTGGCCAACATCCAGGGCCACTTCTTTTTGGTGTTTCTGGGGGGGGGGGGGACACCAGCATGAAGCCAAAGCATCGCCCCATCCCCGGGTCAGCACCCTCACCGCTGGCCCAGCCTGGCTCCTGGAAGCCTCCCAGGAGCGTTGTTGCCCACCCAGGTCCCAAAACGGTGGCCTAACCGGCCCCCCCACCCCCCTCCCCCCGAGTCCCACCTTGCAGAAACAGCCGGTGGCACCACCCTGGCCCTGCTTGCATCCCGAGCAGCGTGGCAGCAGCACGCCCTCCCGCCCGCTCCGTCTCTCCCAAATCACACCACCAGCTCTTTTTTTTTTTTTTTTTTTGATTACGCTTTGACGCCAGTTGATCATCATCATTTTCAGGATGGGGAAACATGGTTCGATCACCCAGAAATCGAGCCATCATCTTTCCAGCCAGAGCTGGGCTGGAGCAGAGGAGCTAAAATAGCTGCAGCACGTTACGGGTTTCTCTGAGCCATCCCAGCTCCCCCGGGCAGAGCAGCACAAGCAATTTCTTGGCTCTATTAGAGACAGGCAGACTTTCTAAGATTTTATATCTTTTTTCCCCCTAAACAATGTGGCTGTATTTGATGGCAGCAGAGCGAGCAGCTACTGATGACTTAAGCCTGGACCAACAACAGAAAAAAGAAAATAATCTGAAGATGCTGCGGAGAGGGGATGAAGTCTAGCAAAAATGTCAAGAGTTGGACCGCCTTGCCAGATTAAATGTTGTCAGTGAAAGCTTGGATCTAGAAACCTTCCCCAGCAAAGAGCAAAGCTATTTACTAAGGGAGTGGAATAACAGGGCTTATGGCTTTATAATTTTATAGGTTTGTTTTGGTTCCCCGCGCGACGATCCGGAGGGATTTGGCTTGAGGGAAGATGGAGTTATTGAAAAGTAAAACGAAAAAAAAAGATGGAGTTATTGGTTGGGAATTGAAGATTGGGTGTTTAACGTGACTGAGCTACCCAGCCCGGCCACGTCCATCCCACCAGGCCCCAGGACGCGCCCGGCACTATCGCACCATGGCATTTAATCAGCTTCCATTATATATAGCCTGTAATCAGATTCCAGAAATAACTGCAGATAAGGTGGTGCCGTGATCCCAGTTTCCTTCTCCTCACCTCCTCCGAAAGCATTAGCGGGGCCCTCCAGACCCCCCCCCCGCCACACATAAAGCTCATTTTCAGGTGGGGGAAACTGAGGCACGGCTGTCACGCGACTTGCATTGAGCCACGCGGGGCGAGCGGCTCCGGTGGGGTTTGCTGCCTTCCCATTTCAGAGAAAGGGGGGGGAAAAAAAAAAAGAAAAAAAATAAAATAAACCCAAAAAACACTATTTTTTCTTTGCTGGCTGCCACAGAGGGAGACGCTGCCTCTCCCAGCTCACTGCAAAGCCCGTCCTTCTCCCACGCTGTCCGGGGGGAGGACGGGACGCGAGGGGCAGCCGTTCCGCAGGGATTACTGGGTCGGGCTTCGGGCCACGTCGTGAAAACCTCTTGGTTATTATATTAAGCTTCTCACTGTTTTGACTATAACTTTCGCTGGGAATCAGAGAGATTCAGAGCCCGAGATTGAACCTTAAAAATCTAAGTCAAATAAACCCAAATGTAGCGCAGACAGGGCTCCCCACCCCCCCCCCCCTTCCCTCTCTCTCTCTCTCTATATATATTTTTTTTTTTTTTTTTTTCCTGGAAAACATTCCTATCTGCAGCAGGAACAGCACTGCTTTGGCATTTGGGATGTTTGCACCAATGGGGTCGGGCAGCCCCGCGTTTAGGGGATGCCCAAGCCCAAAAATGAGCCCCGCAGCACCCGGGCTCCAGTTGAAGCGGGCAGCTCTCCTGGTCTGCTCCTTCTCTCCTCTTTAATCCAAATAAGAGGTTTCTGGCTCCCACCACCCTCCCCGTTCCTCTCCCAGCTGCGTGCTTTGCTCGGGTCTCTCTTGGAGTTGCAGGAAAACTTATTTGCAGCAGAAAATGCAGCAAAGCTCGAAAGTAAAAAATAAAATAATAAAAAAAAAATAATAATAATAGAAATAGTGCTTTGAGTGGAAAAGCATCAGCCTCAGCTTCCTGGTAGGGTTGTGGAAGGAACTAGGGATGGAGAAAAGAGAACACAAAAGGCTGAACCCAACCTGGCAGCCCCCCCACCCCCGTCCCGGCTCCTCCTGTTTGAAAAGTGATAGGAACCTCTAGGGAAAATAATGTACTTCCGCAACAACCAAAAAAAAAAAAGCCAAGTTTCACCCCAAAACATGCGGCGGCAGCACGAGCGGCTGCCAGCTCCCTTTGAAGGTGCCACCGGCCGGTGCTGGGGTGGGGAGGTGAGGGGTGTCCCTGCTGGTTTGGGGTGCTGGGGGAATTGGGGAGGTGAATCCAGCCCCTCTCACGGGAGGGGGGGGGGGGTGGGGGGACTGCCTGGTCCCAGCCCTCCCATCCCAACCAGACCATATAGAGTCATAGCGCGGAGTTCTGGCCCCGGCAGCGCTGGGGGGGCCCCGGAGAGCGCTGGAGCTTTGGGGGACCCGCCGAGAGAAGGGGGAATTTGGGGCGGGGGGGGGGGTCCATCCCCCGCGGGGCGATGGGGCTAAAGGGAGGGAGCGCTGCCCGCAGCCTTCCCCCTCCTCCGAGCCCAGGAACGCTCCCCGCGCCGCCCCCCCACCCCCACCCCCCCAAAAAAAATATCCCCATCCATTTTTCCTCTTCAAACCCCGGAGTGCACCCACCCACCCCCTCTTTTCTTACCTCGCGGTCCAGCAGCATCCCCCCGCCCGGAGAGCAGCAGCAGCAGCACCGACACCAACCGCCCCGCGAAAAAAATCCGGCTCCCCCCAAAAACAGGCGAGCCCCCGCGCTCGCAGGGTTGGCGGGGGGCCCCCCCGGCCATGCCGGCGCTCCCCGGGGGCTGTCACCGCCTCTGCTCACACTCACCGGCCCTCCCTTCCCTTCTTATGCTTTCGGGTCCCCTCCCCTCCGCCCGGCTTCCCCCCGCCAGCCCCATTCACTCGCCCCCCCCCCCCCCCCCCCCCCCCCGGCCGGTCCCGCTCGCCCCGGTGGCCGGAGCCCCCTTTTCCCAAGCGCCCGGCTGGATCCGGGGCTGGGCGGCGGGAGGGAGGGAGGGAGGGAGGGAGGAGGGAAGGAGCTGGGGGGGGGAACGGCATTGTTCGCTTTTATTTATTGCTGTGTTTCTTGGCCCAGCCCGGCCGCTTAATGAAAACCAGACGGGAGGAGAAGGCGGCTCCCAGGCTCCCCTCGCCGGGGCAGCCCGCTGCAGCCAACCCCCCCCCCCCCCCCCGCCAATCCTGGGGTCCCCCCAACTCCCTTCACCCCCTTTTTTCACCAGGAAGGCAAACAGTGGGGGGGGGGGGCAGACAATTAAATAATCTCAACCATCACAGCAGGGCGAGATGGAGCAGAGACGTCTGTGAGCCTCTCAAAACACAGCACAGTTATTATTATTATTATTAATAATAATATTAATAATAATTTTTATTTTTTTCTAACAGGAAAGGGGTACCAGGCCCAGCACGGGGGGTGTGGGGGGTGGCACAGCTCCTGGCCCCACACAGCAAGCGTGGGGAGGGGGTGCCATTCACTTTTTTCCCCCCCCTCCCCACCCAACCTCATCAACCCTTTTTTGGGGTCACCCAACTCCCCGCTTCAGTTCAGGGGAAGGATTCATCACTAATTAGTGAAGCTTCAGTAAGAATATCGATTAATGGGAGTAAAGCTGATTAAATTCAAGCTTTGCGAATTTTACTCTAAAACTGGGGGCAGATGCTCCAGGGCTGCCTGCCCAAGGTGATCCCCAAGGACAGGGGGATTTTTGGGGGGTTTCTCAGCATGAAACAGCACGGTCAGAGCTCTCCTGGCACTCAAATGCAGATTGAGGTCCTGGTATCAGCAGATGCAAACATCTGGACAGGGTTAGCGAGTCTTCCCCAGCTCGGCAGCACCTTCAAGCCCCCATTAGTTTCAGACACAGCATTTTTCGTGGGGTGTGAGGGGGTTAATACCATTTAGAAACACCTCGCTCTCAGCATAATCTCTCTCAAGCATCTTCCACCTTTTCTGGGTCAAGCTCTGCAGAGCACGAGGAAGGACGCCCTGAAGCTTGAAGATGGACTCCTGCTAAAGCTCACCGTGGAGGGGCTGTGCAAGTGCCACCACTTCCATGAGAGGACAAACGCTGTAAAAAAAAAACAAAAACCCAAAACAAACAAACAAACAAACAACACAAAAAAAAAAAGTTACTCCAAAGAATAAACCTGTGGAAGCGTGGTGAAAAACAGAGGGCATTGCTGTCCCTTTTCGGATGCAGGCAGCTGGGTGGAAGCTGTAAATCAGCAGCCTGGCACACAACCGGGAGAGATTCAAATGCACCACAGGGCTTTCAGCCATCAGGAAACCATCAGCAGCAAGGTCCAGAGGGAGGAGGTGAACATCTTTCCAAGAAAGGGTAGTTGGTGGGCAGGATTGCTGCCGAGGGGTGAGCCAAGGGCTGGGATGGGACCGTGAGCCAGAGGAAACCCAGGGCAGGCAACAGGCTCCAGTCTTCCCCCAGCAGCCCATCAATCCCAGCGTAGCTTCACCCTGACTCCGTTATGTGACATTTTTCCCCATTCCTCCACTTTTTCAACCAGTGAGAGCTACCTCGCACGGTCTCGGCGTGAGGTGAAGGCAGAAGTCTCTCCGCTTCCCGCTGGCACAGGGGAACCCGAGCGTATCTGTTGATCATGGATTACGTGGCCGGGGATGGCAACGGCTGGGGGTTATCCAGAGCAGCTTATAAAAGGCTGTTTTGTGCAAAGGAACAGGCGTTCTTCCCCCTGCCTACAGCCTCGATCACTTGATAGCTCTGCTGACAAAAGCCTACAGAAGCTGTGGCACCCGACCGTGGTCTGCAGCTTGGCAGCTGAGCCCGATCTCTGCGGCCCGGCGCAAGCCAAGAGCAGCACGTGTGAGGCAGGGAGGGGGGAATCACTCACAACCCTGGAATTAAAGAGAGGGAGAGCCCCTCGGTATCTATTGTCAGGGCGCTCCCGTCCTCCCAGGCACTCGTTCTTCGCAGTCGTGAGGGAGGCAACCAGCACGTGGAGTACACAAGCCCAGGAGGTGTTTTCAGGAAGGTCCCGGGCACCCACGCTTTGGGGCTTCCACCGGCGCAAACACCATCGCTCTTAGCCCGTCATGGGCCCTTCTGTAACGTAGCAAAACACCCCTATGCCGTTCATAAAAACTCGTGCCCTGTTAGTCCCGCAAAAAAAAGGTCTCCTTAGACCAAATTTCACCCAACCTCCTGTTAAAATGACTACTCAAATCTGCGCGCAGTGCCGCAGGAAGCCGGCTCCTCGTGCAGAGGCACTGCGGAGGCCACGGCGCGTAGCTGGCACGCTCCCTCCCTCCAGATCCGACCGGTGAGGCGCGGAGTCCAAGGGACTTACCCCTCTGGCCGGAGGAAGGTCAGGGCTGGCGACTCGGCAGATGACTCAAGGAGACTTGGCGGTGGCCAGCAGTAAGCCTGCTACGGCAGGGTGATTCACAGGACGTACCGAATCGAGCTCGGGCAGGGGAGCCAGCACAACTTTGGGAGAACGAGCTGGAGTCTCTCTTTTCTTCTGCATCATGAAGACAAGTTTGGAGGAGCTTCTGATAAAGCTAGAAAGCACATGGGTACACGACGAATAAAATTAGACTGTAGTTAAAAAAAAACCCCTAACCAACAACCTTCTTCCCTATCATGACCTCTTACAACTGCCCTCATCACCGTGGAATTTGAGTGCCTTCCAGAAGTGTATTAATCAACGTGGCTTTCATTTGTCACGCACAGGTCATTCACCCTCCCGCAGGGTCTAATTTGGCTTGGAGAATTCAGTTTATCTGCTGACGTAGGGAGAAAAATATTAATAAAAGTTTGACTTTCAAACCTCGCTTGTGTGAGAGAATCGTGTCTTTTCCATTTGCAGCTGAATTTCTTCCCCAAGCCAGTGACGAGCACGTCCAATGACTTCTCGTTACACTTTTAAGCTTTAGAGAAGTAGAGACACCCAGCTGGCCAACTAATAACCGCAGCATATATTAAGATCTTCTTTACTGGATTAAAGTTTGAGCTGGACTGATGAGCAGTGAGTCAGGAAGCAATTTCTTCATTATGGTATTGTTTCAGAAGTGAATTAGAAACCAGGATGCTTTCATGGGTGAGCGGAAGCCGTTAGCTTACCTGCTTTCGCACGGGGCAAATCTCTTTCTTCAGTCTCCTCCTCTTCAAAGCCATCCAGTTGTGTTCTCCTACAGGCACAACCACGAAAGATTCTACCACAGCAGACAGCAGAAGTCCTTCCAGGAAGCGTCCTCCAGGGGTCAACCACCCTGGACCGGGCCATATCTAGACAGATGCACAGTAACACAACTAAATTCTGTGGGGAGCTTCCTTTTTTAAAGAAGTTGTGCATTTCAGCTGCATTTTTGCATCATCCTCGCAACTGGTTTCCATGGCGACCTTTCCAGTTACCAGCGATGACGGAACGTGTCCCAGAGAACATCCACTACCTGACGTGGCAGATCTTTAACTTGCGAATGGTTCTCCATAGACAGGACTTCAAAAACTTCCACCAAGAACCAGAGGACTTACCGTGTTATTATGAAAGGTCCATCAGGACGGAATTTACAGCACAAACTAGTGGAAATGGTCATGAAAGAGGAAGTGGAAGGCGCTTCTGAAGGGCAAACAACCCTCTTACTTGAAAAAATAAGGAACCTTTCAAAGCATAAGTTGGCTTTTTACATCCCTTTTCCCTGCTGCTTCCTCATCTCGTCCACCTCACCCACACATCCATCACGCTTCCCACCCTGAGTTGAGTTTGTAGGCAACGCAAAGCCGAAGACCAGTCATTACATCTACTTGATGATGAGCAAGGTACGAATCAACAACGATCAAAACTGCTTTCAGTTTCTAGAGACATCAGACAACCGCACCGCCCTTCCCCAGTTTTTGAAACAGGGCTTTTGGTGAGGCTCAAACAGGCATCTGGCATCTACACAATAATCATTGTGCGGGGCGGGCGTGGCAAAGAACATTTCTGACTAACTAAGAACGTAAGTCTGCTCCTGTAGGGTTAAAAAATAAAATAAAAATAGTTCTGCCCTCGTTAAACTTCCAAAGATTTGCAGGACTTACCCTAAAAGTCTTTGTGTAGCAGTGAATTAAGAAGAGATGACTCCACTCTGGAATCCACACAAGACAAGCATAATTTCCTGAGTTTTTGGAAACAAGTTTTGCATTTTGGAACCAGTGACTCCAAATGTCAACAGTCTCCTTCCATTAGAACTATAAACACTGGAGGCTTTGCACCCAGCACAAGCCTTATCTGACCCGACGACAACAAGGAACGGTAGTGGAATGGGTGCGAGTCAGCTTCCCTAGCATCCCTCACAAAGAAATCAAAAGGAGGATGGATGATAACGCTGTTGGAGTAGAGGGCCGAGGAGCAGACCCGCCTCCTTTAAGCCTGGCCTTGCGTGATCTCATTTTCAGAAGTTCTGAGAAGCTGCAACTCCTGATTTCATCTGGAATTGCGGGAGTTCACTCCTCTGGGGAGAAAAGTCAAACAATCTCATGCTGTTCCTCTACAAAACTTTCTTTCCGCCCCCCCCCCGGTGTGCAAAGAGAATGTTTGCTTTACAATATTTCAGAAAGCAGAATGTAAACTCTTTGTGCGGCCCGAAACCAGCATAAAAGATCCAAGCACAGTCTTCAGATAACGTGTTCTGATATATTAAAGCATGCCCAAACAGAAAATTTTTAACAGAAGCAAACACTTCTCCCTAAGCAAAGGAGAAACACTACAATGTTATTACCAAATGAGGAATTACAGCTACTTGTCACTAAATCTCTCAAGCTGCAACTCTAACAACTCACAGAAGGACAGCGACTGTTAGATTACTTTGGTAGTTAGAAACATTTTTAAGCGAGGTAAAACGTTAAAAAAAAAAAAAAAAAAAAACCAAAAAAAACAAATGCAGCAGCTCTTCCTTTGTTTTGAAAGGTTTTACAATGTGCAGTTCTCTACTTAGATGAGGATGGGTACCTCAAGGAGTTGAAATCGACTGCCTCTACCTTTCTTTGTTATGCAACATGCTTGATTATTGGCCTCTGTGCTTTTGTTAGGGAGCACCACGCAGGCAGCTACGGACATTTAAATAAAAACAACCACGGGCTGTGTTATCTCACTGTAAAATGACTTCCAAGCATCCCCTGAGGCATCAGTAGGGCCCTTAAGCTCTCTTATTTTTTCATCAGTTGAAAGCTTAAAAGCATATTTAAGGAGCTAACTGGCTTTAAATGAGCACTCAGCTGTCATGACTCCAACACAACTGAATTTCTTGTCGCAAGGAACAAGTCTATTCATATGTATATCAGAGAGTCGCAGGAGAAATCTCAGCACCAGCAACTTTTAGCACCTTCTGTTTCAGCAACATATAAAGCTGCTTTCTAGCCCCAGAACAGCACTTCCAAAGGCAAAGCAGTGACTTGCATCCAAACTGATCCAAGGGACTCGACAGTGGAAGGAGCAAACAGGTAAAAACAGATTTTGAGAAGTGGAAAGGTCTAAAGATGTAAGCCATTCTCTGAGCTGATTTATCACAGCTGTACGATTATTTTTAACCTGCACTTTTAACTTCAGATTTCTGAGACCAGAGCAGATAGGACCTTCCAACATACTAGATCATGGTTTTGTGGTGGTTGTGAGGGGTATATCCAGACAAATTCTAAATCTTAAACCCAGATAGATTCTCACACTTACTTCCTTCTGACAGCTGCTTTAGCAGCATGTGGTACCACCAGCACAGGACACAGTTTGAAAAATACTACGCCAAATCTTTGCCTAGCGTAATTTAGTGTAATTCTACTGACCTTCAAGGGAATCACATTATTTCCCATCATTTAGGAGACATGATTCATTACAGCCCAGTGCAAACTGGCAAGAGCTGGACTGGAGCCACCACTGGATGGCTTCGCCAAGGGGTGAAGCAGAAGTTCTACGGAATTCTTAGTGACCACAAGAGGTCAAAACCTCTGAGTTGTGCCTCACCCTCTGCAGAAGCTGTTCCTTGAACTGAATTGCTATGAACGTCTGAAGTAGAGAAAATAGGAAACCACTGTTCACACCCACTTAGTTTCCCCTCAGATGTCTCTTGCTGTTTATACACCATATGAATTCTAATGCGATAAGCAAATAAAACTGAGACTTAAGGCTTCTACCACCAGGAACCACAATCTTCGTTTTTCATCTTTAGCCACTGCGGTGGTAGTTAAGTGTAAAACCAAGTATCCTGTCAGAAGCAAGCTTCTAACGAAGTGAAGACGGCTCTCCCTGGGCAAGGCTTAAACATTCCCAACAATATAAAAAAATGTCTCTGATTAGACTCTCCTGGTTCATACAGAAAGATATCAAACCACGCAAAAGGGCGGTGAAGTCACGACTCCTCCACTCTTTCAGTGCTAGTACCATCCAGTTTACACAGCCATTATAAGTACCTTGTAAGTGCTCAAGTTCTGTGTCGAGTACAATAAGAGGTGATTACTGCCCAGTTTCTTTAGATCTTGCCCATACAGACAGTGAAGATACATTCCGTGAGTGCTGCAACAGTTACATACAAACTGATCTGTTATTTATTTAAGGGGTTTCTGCAGTACAAAACAAGTCAGTCTTCTACATCGAGATAGGAAATAAAAAAAATCACTGTTAAAAACAATTTAAAATAAATATATAAAACTGCGATTCCAATCAGATCATTATAAATACATTATGAACCAAGTACTTCCAGTGTTTACTTTGGAAGTGCGTAACATCAATACAAAAAAACAGCCATTTATTTAAAAACCTGACATTCATATCAAATCACTGATTCTTAAATTCAGCAAAACTATATTAGTACAAAAATGACCCAACCAAACGCCATAAAACATACACTGCACAAGCATTTACTGAATTATCTCTTTCACGTTACAATCTCCCTTATGCTGCAAGTTTACTAAGCACGATACACCTTCGTTTGTGGTATCAGTTCCACGGCACCTTCCTCCCTAAGACATGGTTGGTGATTTTCTGAAAGATAAAAACAAAATGAGAGATGAGTATTACTCTTCTAAAAATTAAACACACTAAGCACGAAGATATTGTCTAACAAGTTTTCTGAACAGAATATCAAGGGGTAATACAAGACTAAGGCACAGCTATTTACACCTTTTAAGAGAGCTAAAGCAGCCTAGATGTTTCTTACTCATTGGTATGAAAAAATACCAGGACACCCCCGTGCTGGGTGCTGTGGAAAGGGTCAGAAACAAGGATAAAGAGTCAGAACACATCTTGACATTAGCTGACAGAATGTTTCCCTCAGTAACCATAATGAATATCTCTCCCTTCACCTTCTGAATACAAACTTCTGGGAATCATGTATTCCCCAGTTTGTGACACATTTATGAAAGGACACGGGAAAACTAGAAGAGTTACAGGGAGGAGTAACAAGCAACAAGTGGAAGATACAGAAAATGTTTTCTATGCTAGACAACTGAATAAATTAGGACTCTTCACTACTGTGGGAGGGATGAGCCATGGCTGAAGAAGAAAAGAAGAAAATCTATATCATCCTAAGCAGCCTGAAGCAGGTAAAAAGGTAATGTTATTTGCAGACTCTTCCAAAAATAATCTGGGCAGGCATCGTATAAAATAACTGGCAATAGATTTTAAAGAAACAAAAAACAAACAAAAAATAAAAACCACAGAATACTTTGTGTGAAGAGTCAGAGTCTTGTGCAGTTAAACTGTGGAACTCTGCCCTGCGGTGCCGCGAACAGCAGACGCTTACAGCTCACAAAGCAAGTGGGCAAATTCATGGAGGAAAAAAAAAAAGAATAAATAAATAATCCCACTAATTCAAAGATGGATTCAAAGCCCTTTGGACACAAATCACAGCCAGCCTGTTAGAGCAGCTTTGAGAAGTACTGCTAATGCTGGCTCTGTTACTGTATTCTTCCCCAGGCACCTCTGAGCGTGACCTGTTCTTACAGCCATGGGCAATCCAGGCAATGAACCACCACATGGTTCTGCTAGCTCAGCCGGCAGACCGCTGACGTTGCGAAGCAAGGGATACATGTTCCGTGGCTTTAGAGAAGCGGAGGATCAAGTAAAAGCTTTGGGTAACTCATACATTACTAACAGCAGTGGGAGTGATACAGCCACCACCTGATAAGACCTTTTGCATCACACAGATGAACGCAGCACACAGCTCTTTATATACACACATACAGAGTATGCAGTGTATGTGTATATGCTATATACACATACTATATATAGCATATACACCAATACAGAATATAGACTGCTTACATACAGACATATAAAAAGCAAAGCTGCTGACGTGAATCTCAGTGTGGAATCTGTTCTCAGTACTTCACGAATCCTCAGAAAAGCTTCAAAACACCTCACACCACAAAACCTCTGATCAGTCCTTACAGCTCGCAGGCCCTTTTGCAATCTAATATGCAAACCCAGGCAGCAATCAGATGCTATCTCGCCTCTTTGCTCCACTTCCAGGAAGCAACTAGAGAACAAAAAACCCTAAGGTGTTGCTAACAGGAGGGAAAATGTAGCCAAGGGGATGAAAAACAAGCATTTAAAAAAAATATTACTGTAAAGCAGCAAGCAAAGTGTAATTCAGTTTCACACCTCTAGAAGAATGTGCTTTTTCCTTTGGGGTAGTGACACCTTGTGGCCCTTATCCTGTATAGGCTCTAAAGGACATGTCCCATCCATAAATAAATAGTGCTTAGCGTTCCTGAACTCTAGTATCTTTCTTCTTTTTTAAGGGGCAGAGGGGAAGTAGGTAACTTAATAGCTTTGCTATCCCCTTTATGGAGGTTTCTCCCACACTCCCTGTTAATAAAAAAACACTACATCCAATGGAAAAGTTTCAGTAACAGAACAAATTTGTATCTGATAAACTCATAAAATTAATTTTCACTTCACTGGGGTTGAAAAAGTTCCGATTTACACTGCCATCAGATCGGAAATCTGTTTCAACTATACAGTTTTCAAAATTAATGGGCACACACCATTGCCTTATCTGACTAGGATAATTTTATGCTCTATGTGAAATTAAAAGTACAAAAGCGAAGGGATACTGGGATAGAACATCAGCCCAGAGCCATGTGCATCCTGTGATAAAAATAACCGTGCTATCTTAATAAAGTATTTAACAATTTGAAAAATTAAGAATGCCTGTTCAGCCCTCTCATTCACATTTTAGCACAGGGATTTATACAAGTTTCCAGTTACGTACGAGTCCATACTGTTTCCTCCTGAGGATCTCATCCTCACTCAGTGCTAACAAAACTGGTATTTCATTCTCTCTTCACCTCCCGCTGCATTGCCCCACACTGACACTGTGGCACATAAATGCCTTAAAACAGCCACTGACAGTCCTTACTTCCCAGGTGTCCTGGGTGAGTGTTTTCACTTGTACTTTACAGAAGGTAAGAAAATTTTGTTCATATATATTCACTCATTTAGGGCCTTATTTTGAGCCAAATAAGCTCCATTTCCTCTCAACCTGGACGCAAAGACTGTTATTCTTAGTTCCCTAGAGCTAGTGATGAGACACACGCTGCCTCCAGAGAGCAGTATGTCCCACACAGTAGCTGCTGTTGATCACACTGGAAACACCAAATTTTGTTGGTTTTCTCCTCACAATACATTTCTAAGAAGCTGGTGTTCATCTTTCTTCTGAAGCATTGGCCCATAAATTGCATCAATCTGCAGCTATACCTAAGATACCTTTAAATTCTGGTGTGAGGATTGTTCAGCAAACAGCACTCTTCCATGTTCATGGACGCACAGAAATGAGTGTGTGTACATGTTTAATTCACTGCTTCCTTTCCCAAATTTTAGTCACCCCTAATCGGTGAGCCCTCAGTGCCCTGTAGAAATGGCACACACACTGTACTGCAAGATAATCCCATCCTCAGAGCCAGTGGCATTGATATTAGTGAGGTGTACGCCTAGTTTTACTTTATGTGTTTACTCCTTTGGTAAAAGTGACAGAAGAAACCAGTGTCCCAGCACCATATGACATCATGGCTGCGATGTAATGAACTTGGAATATAAGCACACTTCACTATTACAACAAAGTGTTCTGCCACAAGCGCTTGGACACTCCAGCACAGGATGCCTGAGCACACACTTTCACCAGCAATTTAACCTACAAAGTTGCCCTCAAGTGGCTGGGGCACGAGTACCTCCTTTCCCCATCAAGATGACCGGAGCTAGCATGTCAAAATCCAAATAGGGATGGACAAAGAAGTTTCTTTAGTGACAAGTGACGTCAGACGGGACCTGGGAGTCTGAGAGGACGAGTACTACGCCCGGCTCCACCACTGACCCCCACACAAACTTGAGCAGAGCACTTGACTGTACGTCTCCCCCTCCTTTCCCAAGCTTTGTCTGGATATCTGCCAAAAGATCTTGGAAGGAACTGTCCCCTACTAAGCTTGTATAAGGCATAACAAGACTCCTCTAGGCGACTGCAATTAAAATAAGAGTCAGATCTACTCCAAAGCACTGATCTGCTGTTCTACATCAGCATTTCACAAACTTCCCGCTATGAGAGACACTCAGACCACAGTATAGGGACAGTGCTACAGATCCCTTAAATGATACAACCCTAGATTGCACGTGGTTTTAGTCTAGCTTTTGTACCAGCCGTTTTCTTCTCCTAATGCTCTGTGTCATCTTTGGAGTCATGCCACAAAATCTGCGGTTCTTTTTTTCATGCACAATCAGATCCGCTTAGAAACTGATGCTCTCAGCAGCACGTTAACCAAGTTCTAAACAAACCATTCACTGTATTTACAGCTACTCTGCATCATCGAGGAAGACAAAAAGATTGCAATATTTACTGTAATGAATCATCATCCCTCTTCCAATCAAAACCACAGTTATACACAAAGCTTCTGATCTGATTCCCTATCTGCTTCCAGCTGATTGCACTACTTCAAGTCAATGACTGCCAGCATTCATTAACTCCTAAGCCCTTACTGTACCAGCATCTGAGATTCTCAGACCAGTGAAAAAAATATGTCCTTAATATACTCTGCAAAAGCATAGCATCATATTCGAGTAATTCTAGTGGTAAATACCCACAATTAGATTAGGAGGGTATTCTGGATAATACATTGCATTACGAGCCCTGACTTTTAAAATCCAATTACTGCTGTTCCCAACAAATAACTAACCCTATTATTCCAGCTCTGATAGGACAACTCAGCCAGGAAAGAGTTGTAATGCTAAAACTGAAGTGCAACCTTAAGATCCAGAGGAAAGAAAACCAGTTTTAATTTTTAATGCATGTCCTTAAGCCACTGAGGCTTATAATGCACTTTACTACCTGCTGCCAGAGTTCTCCAGAACGCTACATTTTACGGTATATGGGTTAGTTAAAGAGCAAGAAGGTAAGTCAGGTCAGAACCTCAGTGTTTGCTGCAAACTGTTGTTTCCCATCTTTTAGTTCTTATTAGGTCTTAAGAGATATGGATGCCTAGAACAGCTCAAAAAATGATACGCTGGTCAGTTTTGGAGATGCGCTTCTCAGAGGGGACAAACGGGCCTCCTCTGTTTTATCGGGACATTTAGTGCATCACTGTGTATCAATTAATACTGTTTGTTATACAGAAATATTAGGTAATTAGATGTGTGCACATGGGAGGGCAAAGGGATAGAAACAGAAGACTCTCCTCCTTGTTACTCACCATGCTTAACCCAGGTGAGCCTCCAGCACAGGGTTCTTCGCTCTCTAACATTAATTAAACCCGTGCTTTTGTGTCGGTCTGTTAAGCACGTTACACAACTTGGACAGCCAGGGAGGAAGAGCAATAGCAGCAGTTGTTAGCTGGGACAGAAGCAGCTCCCTGCAGAGATCTCACTGCTTCCAGGCAGAATGAGGCAGGATTCGGCAGAGCTCTAGAGTAACCCCAAAAAACGGGTCCCACAGTTTCCAAAATCCTGGAGTCCACACCCCACCTTTGCTCTGCTGCTGGTTGTGTGGTGAGGCCCCAGCAGAGAAACTGGTTTTGAACTGCTGGATAAGTATGTGTGGTTCAAAGATAATCATACCCACACTTCGGGATACTGGTTTATTCTACAGCTTGCCAGACAGAGATGATCCTAGGCTGATCGGTGCCGGTGTGGTAAGACCACGCTGTCAGCTGAACAAACACTTAATGATGAAATCCACAGCCCCCAGAGTTAAATTACCACCAGGACTACCAGTCCTCCACTGGAGCAAAATTAGGAATGATGATTCCAAGCATGATTGCGAAGTTAGCTGTGATTTGTGCAAGCTAAATCCCTCTACACCAAAGGTACAATAGAGCAAAACCAGCAGCCTTCAGGTCAAGAGCCTGTCCAGGGAATATCTTCTTGAAATATGCTCCATGATCTCTCTGTTCTACCCTCAAGACTGCTCAAGACCTTCTTTGTATGCTTTAATCAGGACCTTGCTTCCTCATCTTTTTTCCACACACCGTGTAGAGGTACTGGAAGGATCTCAGGTTAGGTAGGGGGATTGGTTTTTTTTGTTCCACCTTTTGCTAAGCTTGACTGCTTTGACCCTGATTAAATGCTAATATATCTTAACCAACTAGAAGTTGCAAAATAATACCACGGAATTAACATTTAGTAAGTATTACTATAATGCTATAATGCTTGTGACCTCAAGAAAAGAAAAAAAAACCAAAAACAAAAAGATTCTAAAATGTTAATTCAGTATACTTGACCAGAATGCCTACCGTTTTATAAAGCTGTGCCTTCAGGCGGTATGAGTTATATTCCATTTTTCTCTTCTCTTCCTCTCGCTTCTTCTGCACCTCTGGCAGCTGCTCATAGATCCTTAAGTGTAAATACACAAAGTCAAAAATAGTGACTTGGAAGGAACTTATTGATATAAACCCAAAATCCTCCACTTTATCTTCACATTCTGTTAAAGGCTACTGGCCAACCACATCACAGAAACATTTATTTGGGCGTTTACTAGTGTCACACATGGAAAATGTGGAATATATAGCAGTTGTGATACCAGAAATTCCCACAGCCCATAATGTCTTTCTCTTACAAGCAGCACCCTCCTAAAAGGAATATTTATAACACCAAAATGACCATACAGCTGATATGAATACCCAGATGCAAAAGGTAGAGCTTCAGTATCTTCAGTACAGAATTGCCCTATTGCTTTGAGCTGATTCTGACGAACATGTTTATCCACTAATAGCAATAATTTTATCATAAGAATAACCTGAGTTATTCACTATTTAGGCACCTTTTCAATATGTCAGTATTTTCAAGATTCAGCAATGCTGCCCTGTTTAGGTGAATGCCTTGTCTTCTCCAGTGCTGCACTTCTCCTATCCCAGAACCAAACAGCAAGGGAAGCTTTGAGCCCAACAGCAGGCGACTGGTGCTCAGCAGTCAGTGCGCTATTCCAGGCTGGTTTACATGTTACCATCGAAAGGAGGGAGCCGAGAGCGAGGACGGCAGTGTATTGCTCACACTGCCTTCCCCAAATCTTCCTCTAAGATCATAAAGCTTTACTAATTTCACGACAGTGCTTGTCTAGAAATTTGCAGCTTCAAACACATTGCGGTTTATGGGAGGAAGAAATGAACAATGTCCAAAAATTTCAGTCCTGTAGTGTTTCAAGCAAGACAGATCTTACTATAACTTGTTTCTTAACATGCTGATTCGATAATCAGCAAAAAAAAAAAAAAAAACAACCAAACAAAAAAAAACCAACAACAAAAAAAAAAAACAAAAAACAAAAAACAAACAAACAAACAAAAAAAAACCCACAAAAGCACCTTGTTACAATATTGCATTATACTCCTTTAGAGACTTGTTTCATTCTTACATTGGTATAATATCTTTGCATAATTACTGTTGGCACTTCAAATGTTTTTAAACACATCTATGCCTTCCACTGGTATTATCTGAAAGTACTTCAACACACTCCATTTTGAACACTGCAAATCAATACAGCCCACTATCCAGGAGGGGCATCTCTGACAGTTGTCTTGGTACTAATTCCAGCAGGAAAGTAAGTAATAACTCAGACCAGCAAGAGAAGTGAAGGAGGCAAATTTGTATCGGTTTGTACCCATTTGCTATGTTGTCAGTACAAATTAGGTGTCACTCGCATGTTTCAAAGGACAGAAGGACGAGAAGTTAGCTGGAAAACAAACAGGAAGCAGTACGATAACACGTAACTAAGCAGGCAGAATCAAGAAAGCAAGGAATGAAATCCAAATCTCAATTAGTACTGAATTTTATCTCCTGTCTAATTCACCAGCATCACCTAGGGAGAAACGTACACGTTTGTAGCTTCTACAGCTCCCCACACAAATGTGTTTACCAGTCCATCAGACTTCACAGTGGAGTCGATAAGCAAGCAAATACACATCCAACACCAAAAAAAAAAAAAAAGAAGAAAAAAAAGAAAAAAAGCAACTGCACTCCTCCCAGTGACCTACCTTCCTGTGGATCCCTATTCTCCTACTCTGTGTGCAGCTGCTCTTAGGAGGTCATCTTTTCTAAAAATGTCACTACCCAGATTACTGCTACAGAAAAGAGAAAATAAATCATATTTTGACCTTTATTTTACTCCTCATAAGCTTTGCTGGAAGGCAGCAGAGGGTGCTAGGTCTATGCACGGGGTACTGGATGAGGAGAGGGATACTGCCAAGATTTGGCATTTTGCTTTACTACCATCTCACCATGCTCTAAAAGTTTTTGGCATTCTAGGGCTCCCCTCAATGAAAGATCAAGATTTACCCTTGACAAATCATCCCACCATAAAGATGTTTAGAGGAAGAAGTAGGCAATGCAGAGTTATAGGTAAATTAATTGAAAATTGTTTTCATTACCTCTAGCTAATTTGCCATGAGAAATTCCATTTATATCCTCACAGAGAAAAAGAAAAAGCTTCTGCACTCATTATAGGTGTGGATTTCAAAAGAATGGTACAGAATAAATTACTTCTCAGCTCCAACAGAGCTGGAGTATGACAGCAGCAAGAACAAAAAAAGTCACCAAGTGTGACTGCCTGAATCAGTCTCCATAGAAATCCTGCTGACTTTGGTTATTATGAAATCCGAGTTTCTGAAAATATATGAGTTCAGATACATCAATCTCACAGTCCAAGTGACCCGAACCCGAATCATTCTACCTCAGCTAAAACATGTGGAGATGCGTTCCTTGGGGAACTGACATATTTCCCGTATTTACCAAATTTTGCCACATCTCTATTAACACCCTAAAAATATTTTTAAATGCCAAAAGCTACTGACATACAGCGTTATTTTTGGACTCTCCTATCATATATATCAAGGGGTTTATTTTATATATTGTGTATTCCAGTAGATATTTTGTAGAATCATAGTGTAACTGAGGTCGGAAGGGATCTCTGGATGTCACCTATTCCAACCTCCTGCTCAAAGCAGGGCTAACTTCAAGGCTAGATCAGGTTGCTCGGGCCTCATCCTCTCAACGTGTGACTATTTCCAAGGATGCAGGCTCTACCTTCTCTGCAGGGCCCTGGGCCACCACTTCACCACCTTCCTCATCAAAAAATTACTTCCCTCTCTCCAGTTAGGATTTCTCCTTTACTGTAACACATCGCCGCTGCTGCTTCTCCTGTCACCGTCCACCTCCAAGAAGAGTCTTCCTCTGCCTTCTCTAAACCCTCCTTCTGGCAGGGAAGCCCCACTGACAGATCCTCACACCTTCAGCCTCCTCCTCCTCCTCCTCCCTGGGCCAAACCAACCCAGCCTCCGCAGCTTCTCCTCATGCACCACGGACTGCAGCCCCCTGACTGTCCTGGTGGCCTCCACCAGCCTCGGGCCACTTTGTTGACCTCTCTCTTGTCCTGGCAGCCCAGAACGGGAGACAGCACCCAGCTGTGGTCCCGTGAGTGCCAAGCAGAGGGAATATCCACTTCCCTCCACCTCCATGAAACGCAGTGTGTAGCTGGCCTTCACCCCTGCAAGACGCGCGTTCCATCTGCTGCTCACCAGCTGCCAGGCCCACAAGGCTCTTTCCACCTCCACAGGCCGTCTGTCCTCAGACACTGCCACGGGGGGGTTGTTCTTGGGCAGGGGGTTCTGTCCCACTTGGTATTTGTCATTGCTGAACTTCATGAGATTCCTCTTGGCCCTTCCCTCCAGCCTACAGAGTTCCCTAGAGACTCCACACCTCCTCTCCAGCGTACCGACTGGTCCTCCCAGCTCGGTACCACCTGCAGACCTCTCGAGGTGCGCTCCATCCCATTGCTACTCCAGATGAAGCTGCTGTGAAACAGTCCTGGCCCACAGCATTGTCCCTTTCACAAAGCACAAACCCTTCCCTGCACGCAGCATGTACATTCCATGACTTCACTGCCACAAAGTGCTTGCATATATGCTGAAATTCCAACTACTTAAAATATCTCTTGCCTCAAGGTACACTCTTGACCTTTGTTTTGTTTTGACTCTAAATAACTTACAGTATCACTGTATTTTTATATAACTTTGTGAGTTATCAGAGACAACTTCATGAGTCTCTAATTTAAGTATTGATGCTGTTTCTCAACTGGTACTCTTCCAAACCACTTCCTCTTGATCCCGCGACTGTTTCAGGATCTAGATGCAACAAACTCCATTTTTTATTATACCTTCACAGGCTTTCTCTGTAGCATAAGTATTCCAAATGTTTAATACATTGTTAGCATGCTGTGCGTTTTTATATATTAATTACTTGAGTCAAAAATAAGGCAAAATATATCAGAAGGTGGTTTTCTTCAAGGAACTAAAGCCTCTGTATTCCTTTGTGGGCAATTATTTCTTACATCAAGCTACTTTAATTTGGTGAAACGATACCTCACTTCCTGTACCAATTACCTAGTTTGTTAATGTTGAAAATTATACAGACACTCTAGTTGCCCACACCCTACATTTCCTCTCCTTTCAGGCTTCAGTACTTGCACAGTTTGCTGTAGTGTTGGATGGCAGATACCGCAGCAGAATATTCAGGTTTAGTTACAGAAATCATTTTTCCAAAATGATCTCATTTCTCAGATATTCTAAATAGGTGCTTTGTCCCTCTGATAAGGTGCCTATATCTTGCACTGAAAAAGCTGAGCTACCCCCAACACTCAGTTCTTTGACTGCAGATACAATTCATCCATCTTTCCTATCCAGGTCACTTATCTACCTGAAACAAAATTTTCTTAACCTTACCGTTTAGATCTTTGAACCATTTCACTCTTTGGAATTGTTCTTCTCTTTTCTCTAATCAGAAAACCTAAATGGAAAATTGTGAGATAAGAGTGAACAAGTCTACTTCTCACAAAGAATGCTACTGCAACAATACGACTCCTTTATAAATTAATGATTCTTATGGACAATAACATTACATAATTATAATATTTTTATTAAAAATACACATACCCTTAAGTATAATGTGGAAATTTATTAATTCCTACAGTATGTACAAAGCAGAAACATGAAGGTACCTCTGTCAGACAGCATGTGACTGGCATTCCTGTAGCCCTTTCTTTTCTCTGGAGGATGAAATAGCTCTTCTCGTTCAGACTGCAGGACACTCTGCATCCTCCTCTCCTCCATTACAAGCTTCAGATGCTTCACACGCTCTCCAGAGCGGGAGATGAAATCAGGGCGATGCACTGCAAGAGCCTCCTAAGATGGGATGACACAAAACAAAGTCTAAAGTGGCCAGATTGTCTCCCTGCAGCTGGAAGGGAATAATCGAAATATCTAACACCATTGACAAACCATGGGGGGAAGAAAGAAAATCTCATCATAATATTTGGTATAACATACAAAATCTTGCATCCTTAATGCTGGGGAGATCCTCAGAGACCCTGTTTAACAAGCTATTTGCCAACAACCAGAAAATTAACTGGTTAGAAAGGAAAAAAATTGCTAAAGTGATTAGCAAAAGGGACACAAGCCTCTCCTGAAAAAAGCATAGCAAAAAGTTAACAAAGTTAAGCCCACAGGGTAGAAAATTCTGTAAGTTATTACAATCCCCCTTGTTACAAATCAGTGGGCACATCAACATTAGGAATTGATTTTGGATAAGAAGTGGAATTTTGAAAGCGATCTCCTGGTATCTCTGTTTGCCACACTTCAATTTCCATCACAGGGCAGTCTCCGAGCACATGAACAGATGCAACTGAACTTAAAGAAACATCCGATGTGCACCTTAGTTAGCACTTCCTCATTTACATTTCACTTGCTGTGGACAATATCTCTTTCAAAAATATTTCTGGACACTACATCTGCATGTTTCCACAGATATTTAGAGTGATCACATCTGATCTGAAGTGTACACCATATATGCATCTGGATGTATGCACACACACATACACTGTTTGCACTGTGTGAACTAAAGTCCATTTTAATCCCATACTACGTATATATCACAGTATTATTTCTGCAAGGAAGTAAGTATGACTTGCTACACTCCCTCTGGTTCCTGAAGCCAAATGATTTAAGCCCTAAAATATTAGATCAATTCAAATACAGTAGTGTATTGTAGAAAGCCAGATTACCGTAGCAAAAAGGACTGATGAATTTGTTGGAAGCGGGAGCAGTCTGTAACATGTTATCTTCCAATTATTATAAAGATGAAATAATAAAAAAAAAAAAAAAAAAAAAAAAACAAAGGAACAACAAAAGTGTTTCCACAAGATTCAGCATAACTCCTGCAATCCCACCGAGATCTCAGCAGCCTCATAGCACAGCATGCCTTTACCTGTAGTGTCAGCTTCACGAACGGCCGCGAGGACTTGTTCTCAGCATCTCTTTCTGGAACTGCTGGCTGAATCACGTTGCTGTGCTGCTGCTCTTGCCAGTTCTTCTCTCGGAGAGGCTCTCTCCAAGGCTTTGTGCTGGTCAGTGGTTCAAACCAAGATGGACCAGGACCAGAAAATCCACTGGAATGGTTTTCTTTCCTAGATTCAGATTTCATGTCGTCTGCTTGGACAAACCATGCAATTCCTGTTAAAAGGCCACAGAAGAAAATAAAGATTTGTACACAATGTACGTGACTATTTTCCATCCCCATCTATGGCCCTTTATGCCTGTGCTGATTTTGGCTGGGAATGAGTTCATTTCCTTCACAGTAGCTAGGAGGGGGCACAGCTTTGGATTTGTGCTGAAAACAGTGAACACAAGGATATTTTCATTACTGCTGAGCAGCGCTCACACAGAGCCAAGGCCTTTTCTGCTCTTCACCCCACCAGTGAGCGGCTGGGGGTGCACAAGGATCTGAGAGGGGACACAGCCAGGACAGCTGACCCCAACTGATCCCAGGGATATCCCAGACCATACGGCATCATGTTCAGCATATAGAGCTGAGGAAGAAGAAGGAAGGGGGGGGGAATGTTTGGCGTGATGGCCTTTTATTGTTCCCAAGTCACTGTTACACGTGATGGAGCCCGGCTGTCCTGGGGATGGCTGAGCCCCTGCCTGCCCATGGGGAGTGGGGAATGAATCCCTTGTTTCACTTTGTTTGCATGTGTGGCTTTTGCTTTCCCTATTAAACCAGTTTTATCTCAATCCACGAGTTTTCTCAACTTTTACCCTTCCAATTCTCTCCCCCATTGCCCCAGGGGGGAAGTGAGCAAGAGGCTGGATGGGGCTTAGATGCTGGCTAGGGTTAAACCACGATAATGCCCAAGGTCTTAGCTAAATCCAGTCGGTGGCCTAACACTGCAATAAACACTCATTTCAGTTTAACAACAGTGGGACTCTGTAGCAGACACCTTTGGTAGTTTCAAAAGAATTCCTTTGCCAAGTGTCAGAAAACCAGCAAGTCTTTATCAAACAACACTTCCGAAAAAGCACAAAATGGCTTAGTTTGCAAGTTTCTCTCTACAGAAAGAATAGTTATTCATCAGCGACTACACATTTTTAAGGAGCCTCTCTGCTGTCCTAAGCCCTACAGCTTTTCATAGATAGTTTTGAAGATCAAATGCTTTACATCTTCCAAATGTTAAATATGTATACAAGAATTAGATTACTCACAGTTTACATACATAATGGGATTTGAAAGTATCAGCTAGTACTCTGAGCAGATATTCTAAAATTTCTAAATTAAACCAGTATGAGAGAGTATGATTTGTCCCTACAACAACAGCAACGATGACTAAGGAAAATATTTTTAAACATTTAATCATGACATTGTGAAGACTGACAGGAAATTTAAAAGGGAAAAAAAAAAAAAAAAAAAAAAAAGTGAGGAGGCTACACCATCAGCCCAAAAATGCAACTCTGGCTAAGAGAAGGAGACAAGTCTAGTTCTTCTGGTATCACAATCTTTCCTCAAGTACTTCTGAAAAAAATACTTGTTCTTTGAAGCCTCAGTACGTGCAACAGTAAGTACAACTTACAGTGATCGGTTACTCAGAGCTTAAGAGAACCTTTTATACCTTGAAAATCAAAATTAAGTATCTAAACGATTCCCATCTCATTCATCTTTCCTTGCTTTATTCATGGCTTCCTATTTACTACCTTTCCTGGATAGGTTGCATCTAACAGGTTGATTGAAAATGCCATCACAACAGAACACTAGAGAGGTCACTTGACATAGTGTTTCTGTTTAAAATTCATTGATTAAAAACAGAATAAGAACTGACTGTACTAGTGACAGACCACTCTGTGTCCTAGCTAATTCTCCTCATGTATTTTGCTGGTTTCTGCTGAGATGTAAAGCTTTTCTGGTCTGCAGAGAAAGTGTATTTCGGACTGACCTTGTGGTAAATGCAGCCTGCTCCTTTTCATCCTTTTCTCCACGAAAAAATTGCCTGGCTGTCCCTTCTGCTTATCCTTGCTTCCTGCTGCCTGATGATCTGTGACCGTACCATCTGACTCTCCAAAAATACCATCAACACAATGCCAGGGTTCCTGTGGCTGTTGATTTGGCTGGCTAGATCTTGGGGTAGGAAAAGTCACACCAACATCTCGAGTGTTTTTCTTAGTTGCACTGTTCACAATCTCCAAGTCTCCTGTAGTTGAAAATGAAGCAGCAACATCTTATTCCAGAGCAGCTGGAAGTACTTCAACACCAGCATGTGTGACATGCGTAGTTCAGGGAATGACCCTTAATTTTTACTTTGAAGCTGAAGGACCGCCGCTTTCTTTATCCCACCTTCAAAAGACAAAATCTTTTATATTGCCACTTCCAGTTCAAGGAGAGCTTACAGTGACTCAAGACTGTTATTATATGATAATCTGAGTAAAACTGAAGTGGTGTAAACCAAACACCCTGTGCAAAACAAGCATGTACATATATATAATATATATATTATATATATTTATATATATATATATATATATACACACACACACACACACATACAGGGGGGGTGGGAATTAAATTTGAACAACTATGCCCTTGGCTGGAGACCTGAGTTAGCTCTCAGAAGAATCAACTTCAAATCGCTAAAAGACACGGTGACAGGTCAACATAGAACTTTACATTCTGGACAACGGAACTGCAGGTTTTTCTGGACCTGTTAGTTTACCCAGTGTGTTCCATCCAAAACTATGTTTTAGCTATAGAAGGTTGGCTTACCCACAGCACTACAAATATTTAACAGAAACATAGGAAGTAGGAAGTGTCAACTAACATTCAAAAAGTCATAACATCATCTTGAAAACAAGCCATGAAAATACTTTTCTGATTCAATCCACTTGCACACACACACACAGAAAAAAGCAGTAATAAGCAAATAATTGATATGTCTGATGAATAAAACAAAGCCATTACTCAGCGTGATGACTGGAAGTTGGCATATAAATGAAAGCCATGAAGAAACTGATAATTCCCACTAGAAAAACTCAAATGCAGAACTGCACCAATCCAGGATCAGCTTATGTTTTAAATAAAATATAACATCCAAAATATTACCAAGAAGAATACGAAACACTGTAGTTGCCTTCTGAAATAGCACATGCCTAAAAAATACATTCTGTAAGTAACTGATGTCTTGCGGAGAAAACAATATATAAAAAAATAAAGTTAGTCCACCTTTGCTGTTGAAAGGGATGAGAAGCTTAGCTTAATAAACTTATAAGTAAGTGAGAAAACTGGCTACTAAAAGCAGACCAACAAAGGAAATTAAATGCCTCATTTTACTTAGAACATAACATCTCTCTCTAAAAGCATCTGCAGTGAATTTGAAGAATGCTGCTTGTACATACCCATCACCAGAAACACGCAACAGACTTTGGAGAGCAGCTTCCAAAGAGATGAAAGGCAGAAGCAAATACAGAAAAGACAAGTCTGGAATTCAACAACTCACCTGCTTGGATACCTTTGTTTAGCATCCGAGTCCGTCGCTTGTTACTAAGAGCAGAGCTTGGCCCCCAAGAACTGCTGCTTGCAGAAGTTGAATCCAATGAAACTGAGATCGCATTCTAGAAAAATACAACACATGCAAGAGAACAGAAATTCCTGAAATACTAACAGAATGAACAGAAAGTAGATTTTAAACAGCAAAAAAAAAATACAGTCATCCCTCTTTAATTGTTGTACCTTGATTCTACTGTTATTTAGATGTTTATCACAGGCTGATTGGTGTCTCTTATTGATATACCGCACAACAGCCAGACTTGACTTTATCTCATGCACTAATGCACTTCCACCATCCCATTATAGTAAGAAAAGTACATTATTTCTGTAGGCAAGAGCTTGCCTGTAATCAGATTCTGTATGGTGCTGAGCATCCTCCAACTCATTTGTCCAGAACTCATGGGACAATGGGGCCTGTCAAGACAAACTTACAAAAAACCTTTGCTGTGGCAAGATCACTTGTTGGCTGTACTTTTATGAGAGACTGCAAAGTGTGAAATATTTCTGCTTTGGAAAGAAGGAGAATAAACCTCTAAACTGAACCCTATATTCCTACCCTCTCAAACCAAAAGCCTTTAAAGGTTGCTGGCTTTTCTGGAAGGACAAACTGTCTTGAAAGATTAACGTGTTGCTTTGTAAATTCACAATAATTCCCACTCTGTACCACTAGCATGAAAGAGCAAAATCCTTTCAAAACATGGGAAGTTGTCTCACCCTGTGATCCTCATTACACAAAATTCTCCAGGTGGAGAAAACTAAACTCAATAAAACCAAGAAATAGAAGAGACATGGTAAGACCATGGCTTAGGCAAAATACTCATTTCACATCTTCACCATTCACACACAGAAGTGCCAGCTGCAGAGGTGGAAGCAGCACAACACTGTTATAATAAATTAATTCAAATTTTATGACATGTTATAACTTTACAGCCATTTAAAAAGGAATATACTCTGTAAGCACAATGTATCTAGTCCACAAGCTTTTTGGTTATATAAAATACAGAGAAGGTTAGCACTTTATTAATGGCAATTAACTGACAGTGCTTCCCAGGCTTCAAATCCAACAGGGCGGCACAGACCAATTTCTGCAACTCCACTGAATTTAATTTTTAATTATGAAACAGAGATTTTTCTTTCTTCCCTGATCATAGCAATTAGTATCCTATTAGTAATTCATAACGCTAGCCATGATGGAAATGAACAGAGGCTTTTTTATTACCTTTTTACTGAACCTCTGCTATCACCACTTCAATGCGAAGCGTAATTTCATTTCAACATTAAATGGAGGCAATTTCTACTCCCGTGCATACTGTCAAGAACTGTTTTTTTGGTTTCATAAAACTATTACAGCTCTAGCAGAGTGCACTAGACAGATGTAGTAGATACATATCTTCTTTCAGAGAACAGAGGCAAATTTGAATATGTGCTCAGCAAAAGAGAAGACAGTATAAAGGAAGGAAAAAACCCCAAGATAACCCATTTACATGCACATGCATACAAGCAGCCATTCAATACTGAATATTGACATGAATATTCCTATTTGGACTAGAATATTCAGTGCAGTGCTTTCAAAGCCCTTCAGCAGTTGAATAGCACAACCTTTAGCTTTGTACCTGCTACCAGATGGCAGCCTGAAGAGTGCTTTAGAAATAACAGAAACTGGAACAGATAAAAACCTTCTGGGGTGGGTTCAGCATCTATAAATAAAAAAAGCTGTAACCAAGTTTTCTGGAAGCAGAGCTGACAATAGGCTGTCATAAAAAACTGAGCTACAAAATGCAGCACTTGTCTGAAAGATTCATACAGTAGTCTCTCTAGGAGTAGGGCTCCTGCTATAAATAAATACCTGTCTCTGAACCACAGATATTTGCAACTAAAAAAAAAAAAAAAATAAAAATCTTCATTTCTGTTCAGCCAAGCATCACAGAAATTACCAAAATTTGAATTTAGGTTCACTATTTTGCCATCAATTTTCTCTCCTTATTTGAGGCGGGTCATGTGTCTGTCTCTATGTATTTTTAAAAAGAACACTACATCAGGAGATAAAAGATACTACTTTCTAAAGCCATATGGGTTCAGTGCAACATCAAGCACCAAGAACAGCGAGCCTTTGTTCTCATGTAAGTATTACTGCAATCAGTTATCTCACAGGTGCTTTTAACAGGCAAAAGATTAGATGTTGGTTTTAAGGTCCAAATAGACATTGAAAGATTAGTCTTATGAATGGAATACGAAATAAAATAATCTCCTAAATACTACAACCGTGCAAAGATGCTGGATTCTAATTTCTTTGTTAGATAGTCAGTGTTCGGATTAATGGCTCTAATGTTGCAGTGTTTATGGCAATTTTATTTTAGCTTTAAATAATTATCATCAATAAAAATGTTAATAAAAATATTTTTAAGACCATCCTTAGTCTTGAAAAAGACTCTTTCTTCCCCCAGACATGCATTCACTAGCTTACTTGACACAAAGAATGGAGTTTGAGTTGTTTCTATAAAAAACAACCTAACTGATTTCAATGAAATCTACTAGTAATGACACTACCACTTTCTTCTGGTAATACGAAAAAAAAAAAGAAAAAATATTTCTCACTTGTTCCTGCACTTTGCAGCATTAATGTGTATTATAGAGAACTAAAACTCTGTAATTTTGTACTATAATCACCAAATCCGTGTCAAGGCCCCCTTTCTGGAAATTCATTTTCATTTCTCCTCCAAAGGGCAATGGACATATTCAACTGAAGTAATCAGAAATATTTTCTCCACTTTAAAACAACTTTACTCCAGACTTTTTACTGAGAATCCTTAGGGCCAAGACCTGGTCTTTTAATATGCCTAAACTGCTAAATACAGAAATTGAAGAAGCTTACAAGCAACACTCAGCAAGACAAAGTAATTCCAACATTTAAGACAGAGACACAGTAAGAAAATTCAAATAATAGTTCTAAATTTTATGAAATGGTATTTATCACTGCCCAGAGATATTCAGGTAACAATACAAAGTCAAAATCTACCACCTCAACTTACCACCACTGTCTTCAGGATTGCTAAAGCACAAAACCTGCAGGTAACCTGAAATCAGATACAGCAGGATCTGGCTTCCCAAGACAAATAAAGGAAGAGAAAAAGACAAATAAGAACAAAGGGAAAGAAAGCACAATTGAGGTTTTAAGATATTTTGATCTCGTCCTTACTCCTGGGAAGGCAGAGAGACTTGTTTGATTAAAGACCGAGCGTACCATATAAACAGCACACTCTGGAAAATTTTAAATGATTGTCCAAATAGCAAACTCTACTGTACAACTGCTTAAGAGTTTCTGTAAAGATTAGTTAAAATTGTCTTTTGCTCTAACTGACCACATACCTGGATCTCTTTCCTTTTCCTGTGTCTCTCAGAAGTAACCTTTGGATATTCTACACCCACCGCTTCGCCACGTCCCTTGTCCCACTTTTCAGAGCGACTTTTCTGGTGGTTGATGGTACAATAAAGCTGGGAGAGTCTTGGTGACACCCGCACTCTTTCATGCCCAAAAGCCCTGATCAGCCTGGCAGTATCAATGGTGGAAATGGAACTGCTCACCTCAGTCTGAGTAGCAGTTTCCATCTCTGTTTGGGTCACTGCATCTGATTCTGAGGTGGTGGAACTGATCGTGGTGCTGTGATCTCTGCTAAGCCTTATCTCTGAGGAAGTGTCACTAGGAGTTTCCAAGTACTGCTGGTGCTCCAAAATTGAATTCACGTGGTGGATAATATCCTCTCCTGACCTATTTTTCCTGAACTCAACAAGGTTATTTTTACCATGGATGATACGTGGTCTTTCTTCAACATGTGTTGCATTAGGCTCTAAGGTACTTCCAGACATGTTCTTTTCTGGCAATCTTACTTTCTTCTCTTCTCTTCCCTTTATTTTCTTTTCAGAAACACTCTTTTCAGATTTTGTTGGTATTAGTGTATGCTTAATGGGATTCTGAAGGACCCTGGCCAGTCGATCGAGGCGTTCAACAAGGGACAGCTCACCGTTACTCCTAAAATCACCGTGCTGGTGTCTCTTCTGGCACTCCAAAAACTTAATCCAGAGATCGTCTAAGCTACCAGTGGAGCGGGTTCTCTGTCTCGGTGGTAGATCTTTCTGCACGTTCTCATGAAGGCGAGTTGTTTGGCTACTTGGCAAAGGGTAATTTCTAGCTTCCTTTTGCTCTGCTTCTCTTCTGCCACGTTGCCGTAGCTCCGTCCCTGACGTTTCATTCCCCAAAGACGTGCTAACGTTTAGATCCTCGTTCTTGCTGTAATCTGCTTCTGCAGGGAGTGGACAGAACTCATTTTCACCATCTTTTTTATGACGAGCAGAAAAAACATGCTGATGACGATGTGTTTTTTTCCAATTCTGCAAGACAGCACTTGAGGAAGGCCTAGCCTGTCTGGTACCAGAACTGTCTTCCGACAACTCGCTGTTGGACAGGAGGTAGCTCTCACACATGGGCGCTGGGCGATGAGGGTAGAATCCTGCAGGTTTGAAGACTGAATGAGTGGTTTTTACAGACTTCGAAGGATCTGTGCGTTCTAGAAAAGAGGAAAATGCTTTCATTTTTTGTTTCTTCACAGGGAAGCAAGTAGCCAACGGCAAATCTTAAACGGGGTGATTTTCATCCTAACACTGCCCAGTTGCTTCGAAGGATTAAAAGCAGGAACCACTGTACCCATTCCAGAAATGCAACAAGCTTAGAAATTAAGTTGCAGCATTATTAAAAGTACATAAATATTTTCTATCATTTGCAACATGAAATCCAAGATAACGTTATATTCAATTGAATCTATAGGAGGAATCTAATTACAGCACAGGTAATTACCCTGACCAAAATTTGGCCTGAATCTTTATTTACATTTATGGGAACTCATGACAGGCAGCCGCATCCCATTTTGCCTCTTTTCAGATAAATGCACAGGGAGTACAAATGTCCCCTAAGACTATGCCTGAACATTATCTTTTAACTCACTCAGAAAAACACTCTATATAAAGACCATCAATACCATTTCCTGTGCACGTCCTAGAACCACCTCTGATAGCACACCAAGATCTAGCCCTGCTTTCCTTTCAAGCTCAGATGACACACTTTAGTTCAAAGCAGCAGTGAAATCCCCCCAGAGTATGCTACTGTCTGAAATTACCAAGGACTATATGCAGAAATCCAATTATAAACTCATTTGTAATAGACATACATTAAGTACGCATGCAGCATGTGCTAGCAGGAATATACCCCAAAAGAATTTAGAAACTGTTTGCAATAGACTGTGAAAAAAAAATAGAATATCAAATTTAAAAAGTCAAAATGTGTCTCATGTTATGTTCTTTGTATAATGGACTGAATTACATAATGAACCATGAAGGCAGAAAGTAGGAATTATAAATGCTAGTGCTATAAGGATTTCCCAAGCCTCTATGCTTACTGAAAGATATTCCATGCCATTTTAGCAAAGTATGGTGTTTAAAGATGGCATATAGAGCAGTAACAGCTTTAATATAAATAAAAAAGAAAATACAAAAAAAGAACAGTCCATTAACTAATGGTAACACCAGTGACTAGGTAATGGGGAGCCGTCAGCAAACGCATATCAAGCTCCATTAATGGCAGGAATCACACTCATACTAGTTTTTCTCTAGATCTCCAACATACCTCCCAAGTTTTTTTCTTTTGCTTGTATTTCTCTTGTTTTGCTTTAAACAGTCTTGTTTCCATGATTGCTATCTACTGATGAAAACAGAACTGGAAGCCAGCACTTCCTTTTTTCACTTGAGCAAGCTTTGCCACTGATGCAGCTGAAGGCTGGCAAGTCCCAACACCAAGTCTCTCCTTACCCCAGGGGCAAAAACACCTATTTACCTCACCAAGAATCACAAGCTATGTTTTCATAAAACCTCAATTCCACATGGGAAAAAGTGATGCCAGACAGGGTCAGGAATGGTTATGACTGTGTGAATTCATGCTGTTAACACTGCCTCACAAACCTTGCTTTTATTTAGTCACTGGTTTTCTTTACATTTTATACATTTCTTCCCTTCCCAACACAGAGACACTTCAGTGTAATGTCAAGATCATGAATAGTGTAACCAGACCCAGCCTCACTAACTCTGAAGTTGGAGGAATTTGTCTTTCCATAGAAGGTCACTGTTTATGCACTCCTGTAAGAGGATTCCTCCACATCCTCCTGACAAACGAGGTCAGGCTTGGGAATTTTTGCTATTTCTATATTTTTAAAAAGTTACCAACAAAATGGAAGGAATGCAAACAGGCAAAAAATAAAAGTTTATAGAGAGAAACTTTTTTAAAAAACACATAACTTGCATAATTTTAAGCTCCAGACAAGCTCTGTGGGTAGAGGTAATCTTTTATTAGATCATCTAAAAATATAGTTGAAGAAGTTAGAGAAGCTTTTAGAAATGCAAGTCTCTTCAGAAAGCTTGCTTAAATTTCCAACTGTACTGGCTGGTTTAACAAAAGATTATTTCTACTTACGGTTCTTTTCTTGCCTGTGTCTTTAGACCATCACTGCTACATAAAAATACTATTAGATAATTTTATATTAACACTTGTGTTCCCCTTTGATTTTTATCCAGGCCATTCAGAAAGATAAGTATCCATTCATCTCTGCTCCAACATGCTAGTTTGTTATTGCAGATTCTTGTTCAGAGAGCTCACGCCTATATATACATTCTTTCTTCAGTTCTATTGCCATGACCCAGAGTTCTTCTTCTGAGTTACCCACAGTAAATGAAGAAAAGCATTTTTCTATCTTACCCCACTTGTTTCCGTACCCTTGCATTTTAAAAATGCTCACAGAGGATTATTTCTTCCATTAGAGAAACTAAGTTAAGACAACATTGTCTTTACTGTTGCACTAATTCAACTATTGGTCCTATGTACACTTATCAAAAAATTAAAATGAACAAAAAATAATGAAGTCCAGTGTGTATTATGCAATCATTTTAAATTACCTTCTGCAAAGATCAAAATCTCTCCATTCTGAAGAGAAAACCTTTAAAAGAGTTAAAGTCATCAGAAGGAATCCCTATCAATACATCGGCACTGGCCCGTGGGGTGACCTTACGCCAGGTATATTGAGCTGCCCACTTAAAAAGGACAACAACAATCACACTGAGTTACTCCATAAAAATCTGTTCCATTAAATGTCTTCATATAACAAGTTTATGAGATAGTAAGAAAAATAAACGGGCTCCCAAAAGCCCTTTATATGTGACTGACTAGAAGAGAGCAGGAACTCTCTAATTCAGAATCCATTACGCTATTCACGTTTTGGGTCCCATCCCTCATTAACAGCCACAATTCTATTATCTCCTTGCACTTTGCTCACTCTTTGTTTAATATAGCACATGTCACAAAATACTGTACTGTGCAATAAACAGCTCCCCTGAGGAATTAAGAGCTGCCTTTAGGAGAGACGGCAACCACTCAGCAATTTTCTGTTTACGGTTGCTTGTGTTCAGAAACAAGATGTAATTCTCAAACACAACAAAAATCTTCATCCCTACTCAGACTCCAGGAAGTTTATCAGCCACAAAAAAAAAAAAATCACAGAATGAGGTTTTGTACAAAAGCAGTGTCCATCAGGACTAATTTTTGCTACTGTCATGAGATAACAGTGCCGAAATCTGCAGCTAGCACAGCGTAATTTAATTTCATCAGCGCTGTCAACAAATAAAGCCTTAAAAGTAGGCTACTATAGTAATAAATCCCGACCTTCATTCCTCAGGAGTACTATCCAACAAGGTTAACGGAGGGAAGAAAGAGATATCAATCAAATCAAATTAAAATTCAGTTAAATACCTACACTCCATGACATCACAAGATATCAGTGTATTTGTGGTCAGGAACACAACCCTCACCCAATACCCAGAGCCATCCCACCTGCTTTTATTTACCAGAGAATTTCTGTCATTTTCTACATGGGCATCCTTTCTGCACTTAAAGACAACTTTGCACCTCACAAACTTAAGAGTACCTTAAAAAAAAAAAAAAAAACACAAAAAACAAATAAAGCCCAAACTCCACCAACCCCACCAAAATTCTTACAAAAGCTCCAATAAGCACTGGGGCCACTGGAATGTTAGCAAATATTAATGTCCAAGTATTTGAGCAGTCAGGGAGAAGCAGAAAGATATAGAAGAGAAAAATGAGTCAAATTCAGCATCTTCAGGCAAACTATCAGCAATATCATGAGACCAAAAATCATGGATCCTGAAACACAATTCTTTTACTCTGCTTTCTTTCATGTATACAAAAACACATGTAAAATTAAACACACACTTTAAGTACCTGGGGAAGCCTCCAGTGGTATCATTTGCTCCTCAGCCCAGGCTAGCTTGGGCTTGGCCCTCTGCCTGTAGATTCTTTCTTTACACGTGATAGCCGTGCTGTCTGCATGATTATCACCCCGTAAACCAAGCATGTTTGCTGGAGACCTTGGAGGAAGAACATCATCTGACCCTGCAGAGAAAGAGAACAATAACTATAAGTAAAAAGAGGAAGCGGGAAAAATACAGAAATTTCACAACAAAGCCAATATCTAAAAGAAAGCCTTTTATCCAAGTATTAATACCAGTATATTCACCAGCCAACAACCACGATCCCTAGTGAGCAGTTCTAGTGAGTAACACAGCAGCAGTAGGTATTGCGCCACATTGTTTTCCATAATCTTTGATGACAAGGTTCTTCCTGGAGAAGTAGATAAAATTCTTCTACTAATGAGCAGAGATGAATACAAGAAAATGAGCATTAGTCAAGTCTGCTAGGAAGCCAGACACAGGACTTGGAATGTCCAGACTCCCTCCTGCTCACATTAAAATTCCAGACATTTCACTGACTGACGTAAATACCTATTTTTCCAAGCTCAGAATAGCAATGGAGAAAAACCGGAAGACCAGAGTAGGTCTGTATAACCTCTAAACAAGAATTCAAGACAACAGCAGTAGAGCTCTCTTACCACCATATCGCTGCCTCCTAACGTAGGGAACCTAAAATGGCCCCGAACTGACTTCTCATCCTGGTTACATTCAGCAGACTTACTCAACAAAATTTCCTTCAGCTACTACTCATGAGCTAAGAATCCTAGCTGCTGCAGGGAGTTTAAAATACACAATTTGTTCTTTTAATTCTGCTGTACATTTTCTAGAACCTTGCGCTGCCTCATATGTATACTGAATTTTTATATCTAGCATCATCGTTTCTGCAAAACAACAGACTCGCATCACATTTGTTTCTCTCATTTTGACCATGTTACAACAGGCAGACTGGAAAAAGATAATGAGCAGAGATGCATAAACAATTATAAGAACAATTTGTGGCTGTAATAACTAACCTGTGCACTTACTGTCACTGTTGTATCAACCTACCCCCCTGGGGCACATCAGTCAGGAACTGGACATGTCTGTAATATTAGTTTTGTCTACAAATAACCTTGGATGTCAAAAAGATCTGACTGAAAACAACCTGCACATAAGACCTGTAATGCCTAAGTGATGCGTTCTTTATGTACAGGGGAGAACTGAAAAATAACAGCAGGCAAAGCAAAAGAAGTTGATGAATCACAGAGCATCCTTTCCTGTGGTAAATGAGAAGTGGGAGATGGGAGGATGTGGGGAAGACATGAATATATATTTTAAACCGCAGTTATGAATTACATTGTTTATAGAAAGGCTTTCCACACTGGAATCCCCTAACATGGAAAGAAATTCAGTACAGAGAAAGCTATTATCTGAAATGCGTGTGGTATTATACAGATATTTCAGAATGCACACATGACAAATTAATAAAAAAAGGGGGAGAATGTACATAAATAAGGGAACTAAAAAGAAAGAGAACTGGCAGAGATATGAAAGAGACCAAACTGGATAGTAATTCCCCGAGGAAAGTAAAGAATTATCAAGCTGTAAAACACCGATCCTGGTTTCTTTTCACTGCTGGAATGGAGTACTAACATCCCTTTCATCAAAGAAATTGAAACCATGGCTTTAGTCAGGATTCATACATCTTTGTGCTATGAGGTGGTGTGAACACGAACAAAGACATATTTCTATTAAAATCAATGCACTTACTCTGAAGTGGTAGGACAGAAGAGTTCTGAGCTCAGCTGAGACAATTCTGCATATAAAACAGATATATTTTGATCTATGAACTACAACTATCATTTTGCATTTGGAAAAACTAAAATAGGTACCTGAGTGAGAGCTCTCAACACTGGTTTCTGACTCAACTGGAGAAATTTTGGATCCTGCCTTTAGATAAGGAACATAATACATCCCAGTGCTTCCAGAAGGTTTATATGGCAGCAGTAAGGGCTGACCTGTGGGGGTGGAAAGCAAAGCAATTACCAGTAATCAGGCTTTACTCCTTTAATGAAACTGAAGGTAAAAGCAACAAATCAGGACCCAAGGAGACTGCTGAAGATGTTCACTGTGGTAAAGCTGGAGAAATATCCTATTTTTTAGGAAAATAAATTGCAATTATTTCATTAATTTAGTTATTTAATACCTGCCAAACAGGGAAGAGGTTGACTGTTGCTTAGCTAGAAAAACAGAGCTTACTTACCTATTCAATATTAAATTTGTGACTAGGGTGAGAAACACTGACTTAAAAAAAAAATAACTCACGTAATCCACAGAGCTCCCAGTTGATCCATGTTTAACGAAATAATTTTAAATGAACATGGATATCTGTGTTTCAAGTCAATAAAACCAGTGTGCTGCCGTAACAGAATTCCAGCAAATGTTGGTCCAGAACATTAGCTGACTTCTAATAGCAAAGAACAGAGGTGATCAGAGAGCTGCAATACTTCTTGCATTCTGATATAATGAAAGAATCTGCTCTCTCAACTCATAGTATTTTAAACACCTTAAGAAGAGAGGAAGCAAAGCCTGGATCCCAGGAAAAATCATGAAAACTACCCAAGTCTACATACATTAGTATAAAGCACTGTGGGAAAATGCTGCACAACATCCACATTCCTCTGTCAACAGATTTTAAAAGCCCTGCGCATTTTTCTATTTTATTCTACTGAAAATAGCAGTGTGCACATTTTCCTCTTAGGTTTTGTACTACCTTGACTAGAAAGTAAATCAGTAATCAGACATATCTCTTGATAAACTCTAAGCAGTGATCCAAAACAAATTATTTAGAAACAGATGTCAGAAAATTTTCTTGAACCAGGCTTGTACACAACAAATTCAGTTCCAGATAAACCTGAACTGAATCACAATTGTATTGATACATCTCCCTACCCACAAGATTGCAAAAGCCAAGTTTAAGGGTTGGGTTCTCTCCCATACAAGCAACCTGAGATAATTTTAATATTTAAAGACTGTTACTTCCACAAAAATGCTGGGTTTGTTTTTGATTTTTAATACCTATAAGTATCTCAAACTTGAATAGATGAAAGTCTACATATACATATGAGACACTAATTTGCTCACCACCCTGCCTTGGGAAAGGGGAAATCTTGTTAAGAGATGAAGTTGTATTGTTGGGAAGTTCACGTGCTTTCTGGAGAGACAACTGATGGACAGCGTTTTCACTGTCTTGTGAATTAACATAGATTTCTGCTGAAAAGGTGTTTTTTTCAGGACTTTCTGTTGTTATCTGAGTGGTAGCATCAGAAGTACTTTTCCCAGTTTTTGCAGGAACTACAGAGTTGAAGGTGTTCTTCAGACTACATCCCCCTGAACCCAGAGCGGCCACTTGTGGTCTCTCACTGCTTTGCAGAGACAGCTCTTGCCCTGCTGTGCTTGTAACAGAGGAAGGCACTAGGCAGGGATTTGCTGAAGACACTGGCACTGGGAAAGAAGATCTTTGATCTCCTGGAGTAAGGTTAGCAGCTGATAATTTAGAAACAGCTTCTATTAAAGTTTCTGGAGGTTTTAAAGACACGGGTTGAGTATTAACTGCAGGTTTATCCCATGATCTCATCTCATTTTCAGTATTCATGCCACTATGCAGCTCTGAGTTATTACACTTTGAGGAAAGAGTTATGTGGACACAAGACAGTACTTTTTTAGTTGGTGATGAACGAGATACAGATGTGGTGGATAAAATCTCATCTGTAGGTGAATGGCGAGACATACCAACTTGCTCTCTTGCAACCCCTTTCTGAATGAGAGGTACTTCATCAGAAGGACTTTTCTTCTCTTCTGCCAACAGCTTAATATGGCCCTTCAGCAAATCAGTTTGTACTGCTGGACTTGAGCCTTCTAAGCTCTCATTCAATTGGATGTGGCCAGGTGGGCTTCTTTTCTCCTGCTGGTCAGAGCTTATAGGATGGGGTTGATTATATCTATTCATTTCTTGATTGAATCTTGTATCACAGTCAAGCCCCACGAGTCTGGCACTACGCCTGCCCAATTCAGTCACATCTTGAGGCAGAGCATCAGAATTTTTTATACTAAGGGTCTGTCTTTTATCAGCATGGATGCTTACAGAATCCTGATCTGACAAACAGTCTGTTTCTTGATAAGCTCCAACTCTGTTACTGTCAGCAAAGACATGAGGAAACCTGTCTTTCTCAGCAGCAAAACCAATCTCATTAGACACCGAGCCAGCACACGTTGGACTTGAAGGACAGGTCTTAGATCTTTCCCTGTATTGTTCACCACGGCTCTGTTCCTCAGTGCTAGCAGAGTCAACCTCCAAGGGCATTATCCCATCAAGACCATCTCTAGCATGACTACTGCTGCATGCCATGGAAGTCAAGGGTGACTGCAAACGTTTTCGGGATGAAAACGTGATAGAAGTAATTTGCTTGGCCATATCTTCAGAACACTTTTCCATAGAGAGTTTCTTCTGATCTGGTAAATGGACTTCTGCTGGAATATCAGAAGCAGCTGCAGACCTCATTGCACATGCAACCCATTCCTTCTGCAATGGTGGATGAAGTTCAACAGCATCAGAATGACTAGTTGCAACTGTTTGTTGTTGGTTGCCCATCAGTGTCTGAACAGTACTCGAAGTTTCAAACTGCGTATCCTTCAGCAGGCAACAATCAGAAGAATCAGCTTTATGTAATGACACGGCTTGTCGTAAACTTGACTGTATAATCTCCTTAGTCCTGATGGCTTGTGTTTGTTTGTCAGTTTGAAATCTTTTGTCACTCAGAGCTTTGAAACTCTCTACGTCCTGTTCCTGACTGTGGCTATACTCAGAAGCAACTTCCGAAAGACATACCCATGGATCCTGAAAAATATAGAAGAATTCACGTAGGTTATGTGGACAACTTCCTGCCCTCGCTAAAATCTGGACTGCAGAATTTAAAGAAAGACTAGTGCTGTCAATAATCAAGAGTCTGTCATCATGAATGAGCATACACTTTCTCTGGAACTCATCTGTTAATGGAACTAATTAAAAAGTTGTCATATTTTAAGTGCCAGTAAATTAGTTAACATGGTTTTGATGCTATAACAAACAACAGCAGTGACATCTATAAAGAACCATTTAATTTTGTGAACTATCAAGTTGTAAGTCTGTTACTTAGGCTGAGTTGTAAATACCTCTCAACATCACTCCACTGGTAGACAAGGGAAAAAAAAAATTCCTTCCTTTCTGTAAGCTGGCTTCATACAAAGTCAGACATTTATCATAAACCTAGTTCATAACGTACTGGGAAAAACTGCTACCTTTTGAACAAGTATTTATTCGCTATCTAAAGTCAAAGGGATCTACAGAGAGACAAAGACATCCCACCAAAGCTTTGCGATTTCACTGATAATTTTATTAATTAAAAAGATAGCCTGTTAGCTACACAAAATCACGTAAACACTTAGGTTGGAAGAGACCTTTGGAAGTCTCTAGTGTGATCTCTCACTCAAAGGAGGGCTAACTTCAACATCAGAACAGGTTGTCCCATCAAGTTTCAAAAATCTCCAAGGATGGAGGTCTTGTATACAACTTAACTACTCGTGATCTGTAAATTACTGACAGAAGGTGTTCCTTCACAGCTTCATGGGAAAACAAATGACTGCAGAAACCCATGTTTACTTCCAGTTATAAGTACTCCAACATTAACTAAGTATGTAATGTTGAGCTTTGGGAACCTCCAAGGAATAAGAGAGCAGGCACACACTAAAACTCTTCTGATTTGGACCAGAGTCCAAACAGGGATACTTCTGCATCTGACATTTTGCTATGCCATAACTATCACTACATGAAACAGAATTTGATGTAAAAGGTTTTTCCCTTGCACTTGAGTTGTTTGACTCTAGCGTTTACGAAGCAGAACTAAAATGAAAGGAACTCCGTGACATGGAAACAAGTGGGAAGAAAGCTGTCCTTTACAAAGAATAAGAAAATATTTAATTAGAAAAGGTTTAATTTTCCATAATTGATATTTCTTTTTCCCCTAAAACAAGTATGCCAATTTCCCTCTCAGACAAGAGCTGTAATAAACCTTTTTACGGTCACCACCCACTGATGACAATAATTAAAAAATGACTGAAAATAATCAGAGCTTTGATTTGCTCTTTAAGGCAGATGATAACTTGCAAACACTTTCCAATTCTCAGGTGCAGATCATTTTCATTTTCCCATCAAAACAGATATGTTTGCCACAAATACTATTTTTTAGTTTGAAAAGCTGGTGACAATGCTGCAAAAAATTAAAGGTATTCCTAGCAACAGATTAGACACTAATCCCATCAAAAATAAGGAAGATCACTGTCAATTGTCTTTGTTCATATTTTTAAAAGTAAGTTACATTTATACTTTTGTCTGACCATGCAAATTGTCCCACAGCTGTATCATCCCCCCAGTATCAGAGCCACTATATTTAGGACTCTGCTATTTCACTACATGCATTCAGGCATCTCTGGCATGTATTTTACACAACAGTATAAAATGCTGTGTCTTAAATTACATGCCTGTGGTCATTTCAGAAACTGAAACTAGTAATTTACTTTAGTACTAACTTCCGTCCTGGTTTCTTTGCCCAATTTTAGTAACCATTCCCATTTTCAGCATGCTCTCCAGTCTCATTGCTTCATCTTCTCCTTTACCTCAAACCCCATTCCACCATCAAAAAAAGGTCCCAACAGCAACAATCAACAGCAATTTAACATGCCAGGAAAATGAAATTAAAGCAACGTATGCTACAGCCCCTCAGCAGAAGCAGACCAAAAAAATCCACACCCTACTCTCTGAGCATACTCAGGCAGTGTTGCCTTTCAGCTGCCTGTTAATGAGGCTGATTAGTGACACTGCAGTTAACTGGAAAATTCCCAGAGCTACAGCACCTGCTTGCTAAGGAACCTCCACCTTCTTCTGGCATCTCAAAATGTAACCTGATTTTTCTCAGCACATCTTCTGCAGACAAAGCCCTAAATATACCATACAGAGATAAAAGGTATGGAGGGTTTGGCAAATGGCCTTAGTTACTTGCCAAAGTAGAAATAAATGTGTCTAAATACTCAATGAAGTTTAGATCTTCCAAACTCTGCTTTCAGCTCATTACAGACAGCAGATAGTAACAAGGCACATTCATTGCCTGCAGAGATTTACTGAGATCAACACCACAGATAAATAAAATGTGATCCTCTCTCTGACTGGCTCACCATCCTTATTCCCCTACTTTCTGCAACTCCCCCTGCATGTGGAGGGATCACAAGGTAAGGATGGATAGGACCTTTGCTTCCAAGACTTCTCTCATTACAGCAGAAGCTCCCAAATGCTGACAGCTGATCTTTGCAGCAACTTACCTGACTGGTGTAAGGAGAAGGTAGTTTGGAAGAAAAGAAATGCAAATACCTCGAGATTAAAGATCACACTACAAACAAGTGAATAGAACATCACACTCCCAGATGCATGCAGAAAACCTGTTACTCAAAGAGCACAAAGACAAAGCCTTGTAAGTACAACTGGGAAAACCTTAAGTTACCATTCACAGTAATTTATTACTGTCATTGGTGATCAAAAAACTGCAACAGATCTTGCCCTGAAGCAAATGAAGGCAGCTACTCACCTGATCTGTTAACACTGCACATCCAACGAGGAGGCAATAAGAAAACTACTCCAACGCTAACCTTGGGAAGTAGCCGTATCAATTCTAGAGAAATTAACATTCCTCGACACACTGAGATTCCCCCTACTTAGATACACACTAACTAAAAGAGGTATCGTACAGTCAGTCCCATTCCTGACGCAAAATACCACACCACACTTCACACAACATGCTTGGAAGCAGCTCCCTCTTACATTATTTCACCCCGATTCTTTTGGACGGGTCAGTTTAGTGTCAGAGGCAGTACCATGGTTAGTGAACACTGAAAATGGACAAGACAAAAGACAAATAAATTCATCAGCATTCAAACCTTACATCCAAATCATTCGAGCTTATGGTAGTGTACATGGAACTACAGGCCACCAGCCTTCTTTAAAGAGAATTTCTTAAGTGTGGTCATCATTTTATTAACTTATCGGTACCTGCACTTCCTTAATTAAGTGCCATTAAAAATTACAATGCTTCCATTGAGGTGCAGAGAACAAATCCAAGATACATGTACTGCCATGGAGATGGGACAGATAAGCTTTTCAAATAAAAATAAAAATCTAGGCTATATTTATTTTTTCCTACTGATTGGAACAACTGTGAAAACAGCAGAGTGTTTTTGATTAATGAAATGCAACACAGGTCCCTGGATGATTACATCCTCAGCAGTTAGCTGGAACTTGGAAATCGGTCAAAAACATTTTTGGTGTCAGTCACAAAGTATAAACAAGTATTCCGCAACAGATTTTCCATCTTTTCTATATCCCAGGTGTCATTAGCAGTAAACTATTTCAGCAAGGTCTGGATTATTATTCCAAAACTGTAGTTTTCTGCGGCCTTATCTATTCTAAGCCAGTAAACTAGTTGATTTGGTTTCCTCTATTTCCTAGAGCCAAGAGGGACAACAAGGGACTGTAGAAGGATGCAAGGACACAGAGCGGGCCTGTGCCAGAGCAGGGGTGCTCCCAAGACGATCTCTTCCTTAAACCACGTACCAGTTCAACGGCCTGAAGTAATACACAGCAACTCCTACTACTGAAAGCAAGCACAGAAGTTGCTATAAACTCATCTTCCCCAAGCCTTTCACATGTTTTATTGTGCTTGTTATGTGTCATCTTTCCAAAAAAGATCTGTATGGCATATGATCCACAAGAGATTGCAGTGCAAATTTATAGCTACAACTCAGTGAACTTCCTGAAAAAGTGAGAAAGTACAGGGAGTGGAAAAATACAGCATATAGTGGAAGAATACAGTATACAAAGGGGAAACGCTCTTAGGTAAATCAAGAGAGAACTATGTGGCACCCATGAAAATACAGGTGAGGTAATAAGGTCCTCAATTTAGAAGGAAAATTCTTAGGTTTAATCTGATGAAACTGTACTTACATGTAACAGCAACTCAAAACCCCTCAATCTCAACTGGGGGACCAAAACAAATGTACATGTACAACGGCACAAGAAGAAGGTTCAATTTGAAAGACCGTGCTCCTGGCACAGAAGATGACCTACAGGTCTTTGGCTTTTCCCTGTTACTCTTGAAATTGTTCTTATCTTGAAAGACCCTAATGATATCAGTGGAAGAACAGTAACAGGGCTGATTTCTGGAGCTTAGGATTGACTTCTCGTATATTTTTCCTAAAAATCCAAACAAACATCATGCTATTCGTGGTTCTTTGTGACTGAAGAGTATCACCCATCCTAGAGTTAAACTCCTCAAGCCTATTAAAAGAGCAAGTAAGTTACCACCAACTTACCTCCTCAGGTGAAAACCAGATCTCCACAGCCACAGATGTCGGAATTATTAATTAAACAGTAACGTACCTACAGGAATGTCTTGCCAACTCTGCCTCCCTTCATCACAAACAAGTTTATAGGAGAGTGCCATCAGTTTATCATTAGTTTCACAAGACCCATCTCTGGACAATCCGAAATGTGCATTTTCTTATGCCATTTACAAAGCATTTGCAGTTACTAAATCTGCAGCCTATGTCTCCTTTTCCTCCTAAGCCAGCCCAAGACACTGTACTTTCTCTTTCCATGAATGGCCAAGTTAAGTCCTTTAGGAAGAGTCAGTATCAAATGGAGTCAGTATGAAATTTAGAAAAAAAAAAACCTATGTCAAGAGTTCCATATTTGCCATCTATTCCTAAACATTTCTGGCAAGCTTTAATGTTTATTAGAAAAGTGTAATAACATGAGTATTTCCCTCCTTGTGTAATGGAAGAGCTATAAATCAACAGGAAGATGCCACAGATGAAGTGCAAAGAAAACAGATTAATTACGCAAGGTTTGGCCATCTTACAGAAGAGAAAGCAAAGAAAATACAATTCTGACTTATACTCATGAGCATTGTTTGTAATTAGAGACACATCGTCAAAATTACATTTTCCTATTGAATGTTCCTTTTTTTGGGCCACTATTCAGCTGAGCACTTGAGTACATGTTTGGAGCCCATTTATGTGCATATGTCCCAATCACCTCCTTAAACACTCTGCTCAGCTAGAACTCGAGAAATCATTATGATGCTTCTTTTTTAGCGCGTCTGTTAGCACATCACCAGTGACAAACAGCTATCAAACAGATACTCAACTATCTCAAAAGATGGAACAATCTTTAGAATTAAAAGATCACTGAGAAGAACCCTCCCAAGCTGTCCTGCTCCTTCGTTGCATTTTCTTTTTTTTTAATGGACAAGCTTCACATGCTTCCTGTGGGAAACAATAAAATATCACAGTGGTACATTATATTTCTTGAGTTGTCACCTATAAAAACAAGAGTCAGAGTCTAAACTTTTCAGAAAGAACACTCATCATAAGCCTGCATCAGAAGCACTAAATAAAGATGACGGTCTGACGAAAGAATTGTTTGCCTGAGTGCTAGGAACAGTTTGTCTTTCTCAGTCTTTAAAGTTTAGTAGAAGGAAAATATCTTTTCATAATCTTTGTTCTGTTCTTTTTAAGTCAGTACATGGCTAGATTTGCTTTATAAATTCAACAGGTATTTTACAGAACAGCTTCTATTAAATTTATAGTACATTATTTTGTCAATAACAAAACTAGCTGCATTTTTTTCAGTTACAGTTTTCAACAATCTGTATTTTTCAGTGACATACTGTTTACTTGGAGTGAAAAATACATTTATCTAAGTATAACAAAATAAACCCAACCACCTTCATTCTGAAAATTCAAAACCATTTTTGATCTCAAATTAAAGCCACTGTAGAGCAAAAATATTTTCAAGAGCAAAGCAGAAAATGTGATGGTTGACCTAAAGCAATTTCTTGGAACCTTGATTTCCAAAAGTGTGATTGATTTTTTTCTTACACTAAATTGGCATAAAACAATTCACAGCTGACAATATTTCACATAAAGGTAAAATATTTGGTTCCAGTCTGTAACAAGTTAGCGTTAGGGACAAAGCTGTGATCTAACAAAATCTAAAACTTGCGGGGGAAAAAAAAGCTTCCGGGCCTTTAGTTTTTCATAGATTAGATTGAAGAAGAAAATGTAATTGTGTTTTGTTTTTCTGTAAGAGTTGTCTGAATTTCTAAAATTAAGTAAAATTGTAAAAAAAAAAAAAAACAAAACAAACAAACCCTTCAGGCTCCACAGTCAAAGATTACATCAATACATGAATAAGTGAGAAATTTGGCCTGATGTTTTTTGGAAGCTAATGTCTGTATTGCCAACACTGTTTATGCTATAAACACAAACATGGACTACTCTTAAAACACAATTTTTCATTCTAGATGATGCAAGGCTTTTAATTAAAACAAACAAAACCCTGCTGCTTTTCCTGGGAGTCAGGCACTGTACAGGGGGCAAATTAAAAAAAAAATATATGACTAAATCTAAGGGCATTTGTCTGAACCACCTGATTAAGGACAGATGACGATTGTATTTTCAAATGCAAGTTTTCTACATTCTCCTCAGAAACTGCCCCAACCTTTACCTCTGCCCAATTATCCAGCCTCTCTTGCACCAGCTCAGGGTTCTCTATCCTCCACACATGAATACATCATTCATCCACTACTCATGGCATTCAAGCATCTCCGCATCTGTCCAGTTGTTCTCTTCATCAAAATACTCTATGAATAGTGCCCTATCTTGCAACACACAGAGAGCCCCTAGAAATCATGACATAATTACACTGGACACCAGATGAACGCTGAAAATGGATATTTAAATTCAAATCGAAGATAATATACTCCTGCTTAGACAAATTCCAATCCGGATATACTATATGGTAATATATGAGCTAGAAATGTTCCAAAGGAGATACACAAAACATGACAACAATTCAATGTCAAATTTTCACAGAAAAATAGAGCTGTAAGTCTGAAAGCTCATCTAGTCTATATCCCAGCCCCAAATCAGCATTAACTACACTTATTCTTTACAGATACTTGCCCAAGTTGTTCTTAAAAACATACTATGATTAATACTCCATAATCTTCCTCTCATCATCCTTACTGTTAAGGAGTTTCTTTTCTAAAAGGACTCTTCCTCCCACTTGAAGCCCATTACCTTTCATACAGTCAACACAAAGGAGGAACAATTTACTTCCTTTTTCCCTGAAACATCCTTTCAAAAATAAATATCACACTCCTTTGTAAGCATTTCAGAACACATGGGAGTAACACAACAAATACTGCTATTACCTAGACAATATTGCATTGTATTGTAAACTTTGTCCACAGAAGGAGTTTACAAGGCACAATCAGCACACACATAAATATTTTGTGAAAAGCAAAACTCATTAAGCCGATGAAGAATCATGGGCTGTGTGCCCTTTCTCACCACATTAGCACCAATCCTCCCATCACATCATCACTGACCACATTGCTGTCCTTCATACCTTCCTTCAGAACCTCTGCAGTTGTGTGCCACCCCCCACACCTCAAGCCACCCCCTCTCGCCCAAGAAACCTAACTGCTGCCTGGGGAAAACCAAAAAACCCACCACAGAATGTGCCATGGCGGGTCCTAAAACATATGCAGGAACAAAGTAAGCCGAAACAAGAATCTCCACTAAACAGAGCTCTCAATAGTTTGCATCCCCCTCTCTCCTGTCTAGACACCAATCTTCAAAATTATTGCAGGAATATAATTCGTCGTCTTTAAGATCACAAGCAAGACAGTAGCATTTATCTCCCACTTAAAAAATTTTCTCCAGCTGTTTTGTCTGTTTTATACCTTGGCTAGTGCAGATTTCTTGGCACTCTGAAGCAGCTCTGTCTTTATTTCCTCTAGTTTTTGCTGGTCCTCTTCATTCAAGTCTGACACAGATTCCTGAGATCGGCTGGCCAGTTTTAGCTTCATCCATGCTACACAAAGAACATAAAACAAAAAGTAGTTCCCTTTCCATTTTCTCACATCATGTATGATAATATTTTATAACTTAAAACTTTGCTATGCATATCTAGCTACCATGACTGAGGGAACAAAGACCACTGTCAAACACCAGAGCTGACAGACTGACCAGGAATACAATTTAAAATTGGTCTCTTGAACATTTCTTTGGAAAGACAGATCCAAGTCCTGTTACCTGGTTCTGTCATCTTTACAGTCTCAGACTCAGGTCAATAATCCTTCACACAATCCTTTCCCAAATTCTTAACCAAGCACAGGCCTAACAGCTATGTGGACAAAACATTTCCTCCTGTCAGTGTCAGGCAAAAGAAGGTATTCAAACTGAAAAAGTCCAATTCTATCATACTATGTAAGATGACTAAAAAACACTGAACATTTAAGCCATGTCCTGTTAAAGCTTATCGTTAATAATATAATATAGACACGTTTAAAATCAGGGGATCAGACTCTGATGAGCTCAGTGGTCTTCATACATCCATACCCCTTAATTTCAAAGTAATCCCTTAAACATATACCTAAAGAAAGATTTGCCATTCTAACGTGACACTCGATAAAACACAACCGAGACATTTTATTACCTCGTGTTTTCCTCTCCTCTTCATCCGCGCTCTTCAGAATCTGTGTTGTATGTGTGACAGGTGATCCATTTCTCAGAAGGTTTTTGACACGGGCAGCCAGTGAATCTCCACTGCTACTATCATCGCTCTCTCGCGTGCCTCCCGCCTTGCTTCTGGCTGCACCAGCTTTAGGCAACATGCTCTGGAAGCCTCCTGCGACATCGGTGTCACTGCCTAGAGGCTCTGAGGAGGAAGGATTCCCCAGAAGGTTTCTGACACGGGCAGCCAGTGAATCTCCACTGCTACTATCATCATGCTCTCGCCTGCCTCCTGCCTTGCTGCCAGCTAAACTAGATTTAGGCAACATGCTCTGGAAGCCTCCTGTGACATTGGTGACACTGCCTAGAGACCCTGAGGAGGAAGGGTTCCCCAGGAGGTTTCTCACACGGGCAGCTAGTGAATCTCCACTGCTACTATCATGGTGCTCTCGCCTGCCTCCCGCCTTACTTCTGGCTACACCAGCTTTAGGCAACATGCTCTGGAAGCCTCCTGCGACATCGGTGACACTGCCTAGAGGCTCTGAGGAAGAAGGATTCCCCAACTCCGAAGTTCTTCCAGTGCCAACTTCACTACTTCCATTGCTTTGTGCAAGACCCACAAAACCAGGCTGATTTCTGTCTGTAGTTACACTGCTACAGCCTTCTGGCTCAGACCTTCCTACAGCTTTTCCTGTCCTAAACTCTTTGGTCAGTTCCTTCATCATCTCTTCACTGCACAAACTGATATCAAAAGAATTTTCCCATCTTAAACTGCACGTGTTATAATTCAGAGGCTTTACTGCCGACTCCTCTTCTTGCATACTTCTTCGGGTCATAGTCTCATCCCATGACAGTATCTTCTGAAACTGCAGGCCACTGTCTTTCACTAACTGTGAATCTTTGGCACCATCCTCCTTTCTAATCAGCGCTGGGGAAGACTCACCAGTTTCTCTAGAAGAGGCATTAGAAAAGACAGGATCACACCACCTGCCAGATATATCATCTGCCTCTGCTAAAAGCTTACGTATTTCTTGCAGTGCACCAGACCCAATCAAAGAATCACTTTCTTGACCCTTATTTTTCTTACTACCTACACTTGAAGTTTGTGATCCTTTGTCAACTTCCATTTCATTTTTAACTCCAGCCAAAGAACTGGCAGTCCATCTCTGCGGGCTGCTAGTCACATCTTTTGACTCATTTTTAGCTAGCAGATCCTGAACACTCTTTGCAACAAGCCTGGGACTCTCTCTGTCAGAATGGCAGTCAGGTGAAACAGTCTGCAGCTGCTGGTTTGGTTCAGCTAGTTTGGAGACAGCTGAACACTCCGCCTCCCGTTGTGTGGAAAGCGGAGCAGTTCTCTCCAGCTGGTGGCATGACATACTGGATTGAGTCACTGGTTTGTCTCCAAAAGATCTTGAGAAGCAGGGAGAGAGTTCACAAGGTGACAGAGTACCAGAGCCAACTTCTGAATTCATTGGGATAGACATACTGAGAGTGGAAGTGCTGCCGGAGTTAAAACTTGTTTGCATAATTTCAACTGCTGACAGCAATTTACCTACAAAGAAACACAAGATTCATTAAGTTTGGGGATCCAGAAAACAGCTGCATCAGTAAAGACTACTTTTTTTTTCTTGTACTAGAGGGCTTGTTAAGGAAGGGAAAAATTCAAATATTGCAAAACATTTAGGAAATCGTTTTCAGAATGAGACTTGAATTAAGACTTCCATGAGAACTGTCTACTGAAAGAAATCTCTTAACCCCCTTTTGGATAAACAGAGAATATCAAAGAAACTACAGAACTTGACTTAAATAACTTGCTTTTAAATAAATGCCTAAGATCGATTTTAAATAAATGTTCTTAGATAAATGATGCAATAGTGCTCAAATGTCCAAATGAACACTTGGATTATAAAAGTATCCCTGCAAGAAACAGGAGGGCTGTGGGGCAGCAGTTCCAAAATATCCTTTTGGAAAAAGGCAGAGAACACACTATGGATATGATTGTTTCCCACTACTGGTTTGAAATGTCCAAATAAGATATACTTCTACTATTTGGATATATAACACCTAATTGCTTTTAATTCAAAAAAAAAAAAAAAAAAGCCAAATTATGTGCAAATGTTCTTAAATCCATGCTGAGGTACACACAACAGCAAAGAGCCAGATCACAAGTATGCCAACAGCTACTTTATTGGTTTCAAATGCAATTTTGTTTCATGGCCCAAGCTGCTATTTTCAAGTACATTAAATAGCCCAGAGCCCAGCTGACTGATATCTCAATTAAGGACAGCTCTGCCCCTGTGCTGATTGCCAAGTTGCTTCAGTTGCCAAGTCTCCCACAATGCTTAAAGAAGGAAAAAAAAAAAAAAAAAAAAAAAAAAAAAGCAAGCCCAGCAGGCATAAGGAAGAGATGCATTTAATCACTTCTGGTCAGAAAAACAGGTCAGGTCAGGATTCTTGATGTCACAGATATTCAAAGGGTTAGACAGGTACTTGTGAAGAGCCTTCAGATCTGCTCTTCCCTGCTGGGTACAAGATGCAAATGCCAAAACAGCATATACTAAGGAAAATACACATCTGAAGAAGTTGCAAAGCACTTTTGCACATTTTCATGACATACTACATGGGCATGCCACTGAAGAACATCTTAACCCTAACTGAGCACACTCTGTTCTTCATATAGAAATGACTCAACGCTTGTAACGGTCATATAGAGTTTTTTTTTTTTTTTTATGTTGAAATGGATGAATTTATGAACTGATCCAGTCAGTTATAAAATGCATACGACTTTGTGTCACACTGAACACACCAAGAAGTCTCAGAAAAAAAGAGAAACCAAGACTTACTTCTCTCACAGGATGAAAAAGTCTGGTAACATTTATTTAATCTTCAGATACAAAGCATTTCCTTCTTAAGAACTCTTGTAAAAAGAGAAATAAAGGAAAAAAAGATAAAATGCCACTGCACTGGCTAGAAGATGACATAGCCATGACTCCTGAGTGAGAAGGCATGTTTTTGAAGGTTCTAATGCTTACTTTTCCAATGCCAAACATCTCATATTTGAGATGGAAGATCAACTCATATGATTAAAACAGAGAATCACATGAGAGGAAACACACTTGACACGACCAGGCCAAGAGCAACCTCTCAGGTGAGTCTGAAGTTCTGTGCTCTCTAAGGCTTGCACAGCACAAGCTCTTCCTTCCCCATACCCTGTGGCTGCGGAGCGACCCTCGTCAGCGTGTCAGTGGAGTCCTTCAGTGTTCTAAGCTCTGAAGGGGAAAATTCAACTTCCCTGATTGGTCCTCGGGATACAAATGGCTTCAGTATAGTTCCAGGTGACTGATCAATGCCAAGGTTGCGAAGATACAGCTGGCAAAAGAAGAAATAAGTAACACATATAGCACTCTCACAGAAAGTCAATGGATTCTGAAGTTGCACACATTTTTCATGTCAGCTGAAATGCAATCAACTTGCTTCAAAAACACCTTAAGCCTCCGTCATGTTCAACCTGCACTAACAGTTCATCCAAAACACTAAAGCAGTCACATGTGAGACAGCATCTCCAGCTTATTCTAGTCTTTGGACCACGAGTGACAAGCCTTTTTTCTAGCTAGTATGACTAGGGCTACATAATGGGTATCTCACAAGCCACGTGCAGCCCTGCAAAACAACTGACATATCCTGCAATATATATATATATATGTTTCCTGCATATACTTCAGAGGAGATTGGTAAACTTCAGCCTCACGTGTTTAAAATGACATTTGCCAGCTGGAAGAACAACACAAAGATTTGGCTTAAAAACTATTTTCCTCCCCAAATAATTGCTGCACAGAAAACGTTATCAGACTTTGAAATTCAAGCTAGGCAGCAGGAAAGTTCCTTACTCTTAAGAACACGTTCATTGTGGGCTAAGTCTTCAAGGCAAATAGTTGGGAACCCTTTTGTCAGAGCTGGTTATAAACCATCATGAAACAGCTTTTGTGATGTTGCTGTAGGGAATAAACTTGTTCTGGCCAAGGCGTAGAATCACTTTCTGCTGTTGATCGTTTTATGAAGAAACACAAGCAGTCTAACACGTAATTGCCTATCTACTCAGTGGCCTAGCATGCACTGAACAAATTTCAGCAGCGCCTCAAAAAAAATCCCTGGCTGTGAAACCATTTCTGGATAGAAACTACTGCACTAAGTCTATAAAACATAGGATAATCAAGTGTACAAATTCTATGTACAGTCAAGACTTAGTTTTACTGGCACGGCTGAAGCAATAACCCCTTCTTAGTAAAGACGACACAAAATGCATGCCTTTTCCCTTTTCTGTAAGTACAGAACAAATACACCCAAGCACTATTTGTATACCACATATATACACATAAAAACCACCATCTAAATACAACTGCATTAACATTAAACAAAGCAGTTAGTTTGGGGAAGCCAAGTGAAAATCATACTCAAAACCTAAAACTCTGCAATATACTAGAGAAAAACATTATGAGGATGAGACCAATTCTTTCTGCGCAACATCCAGGAGACTGCCAGTTCAGAAACACCCAGCATCATTCCCTGTATTAATATATTTTGAAAGCTGGAGGAGTCTCGCTGAGGTAAGAGCCTACCAAAGGCCATCTAGGATCTCCTGAGAAAGTAATTTCTTCCCTTTTAACAGAGCAACTAAGTTTACATAGACATTATATGCAGAGGGGAAAAAAAAAAAAAAAAAAACAAACACCAAAATTTGCCTTAAATTAATCACCTATAGAGGAAAGTTAATTTCAACTCTTCTATACTATGTCCTAAAATAGCCAACTAAATTAAGTAAATCACTTTACAGATCTTAGCCAACTCTATTTCTTATTATTTTATTATAAACCTACATATTAATAGCTGTAATCTCCTTTACCTTGTCAGTGAATTATGAGAGCAGAATCCCTTAAAACTAGGGCTGGAGAACATACCTAATTATAGTCATTAAAAAAAAAGGAGGTAAAAGACAACCTTTACATCTCATGAATTTCATTTAAGATATCCTCCCTGTAATATTTATATTTGTTTCAACACATATTTGCAAAGACAACTGAGAGAAGAGTGCTTCTAAAACACAGTTCCAAAGATCTAATGATTACAGGAGTCATCTTGTGAGAGGAACAGCCACTTACTCAAAAGATAATTACATGTTTATCATTAACATAAATCTGCATTTAATTTTCTCTAACATTCAACAGCTATTAGGATAGTTAACATGGCTGCTACAATCTGCCCTCCATTCCCACCAACCACCCTAAAATGGGGAAGGGAGGAAAGACATCCACATTAGCCAAGTAAGATATAAAGGAGGAAAGGTATGCAGAGGCTTTGAACATCCTTTGTGAGCAACATATAAAGAATCAAGAATTTATGCCTTAGATACTGGTACAAAGTGAACAAGCAAAATGAGTATTTATAGAAAAAAAAAGCAATTTGATTTGCCAAGGAGTTCTCTCTTGGTTTTGCTATTATTGCAGATCCGTGGGCGTGTGAAGTTCATCCCTCTTTTCTGCAGCCTAGCATTTCCTTAGTCAGCAGTTGATTCTCAACCTCATGTTTGGATAATTATAACCTGATCTTTTGAAAGAATCTGGAAGATCAGAAATGGCTTATCAATGCTCTGCTAAAAGAGCACCAATCTACATTTCTCTTGCATTCTGTTACCATGATACTATCATCTATACCTGGCAAAAACTAAATCTTTCCCATATCCAACTCTTTCTTTTCTCATGTTAAATATTACCTAAAAGTCATCTTACTAATATCATGAATGAAATTCACCAGTAGTATAGACTAGTATAAAATCATTTCATTTAGTCTGTAATGATGCAGACCCTAATGAAGTCTCCTAGAAAAACAGTAGGAAAAAAAAAAAAAAATGGTGTAACTCTGAAACCAGAGTTCAAATTAGAATCAGTTCTAAAAGGTCCTTTAAGATTTCTTTAGGCTTCTAGAAATACTAGTAAACACGTGTTTTATGTAAGATGAACCATTGCATGACACATTCCCAACAGGACTGGATATCAGAAACTAACTACAAGCATGCTAGCATCTCATTCCTGTGATACCTTCTGCACTTCTGTCCTACTCTGACTGTGACAGTGAAGTGTACTCTGACTTCTTCATAATCAAAAGGTAAAGAAGAGTTACAGATTTTTGTTACAAAATAACTTACTGGGATCCTTTCTTCAATATTAAGCTCTTCTTTCTCTGGAGTTTCCAAAGAAGTTCCTCCAACAGGAACAAAGTTATTGTCTTCTGCGCTGATGAAGTGCCTGGAAACCACTGAAGAGCACCCTGCAGAGCCCAAGCCCCCCTGGCTACTTTCCCCAGAGCTAACAGGAAGAATCAAACTATCTGGGGAAATATCACTGAAATTGTCCATGCTGACATGGCCAGTAGGAACAGTTAGACTGTGAGACTGATCTTCACGAAGATCACAGTTCTTCTGGTCACCAGTTGGAGAATTTCCATCCTCTCTAAGGAGCTGAGCAACTCCTTCAGCAGAAACAAAAACATTTGGGTCTGAACTTTGTCCTGTACTATTACTTTCTGCATCTTCACCACTAGATCCAGAAACAATCTCAGGCATAAACTTTTGTATCATAGAGACTCCCAAACTAGCTTCAGACACTCCTAAAACATTACTTTTTTCTTCTGGAGGCTGCACTGCCTCTGTTGAGTTTGCTGGTGGAGTAACTTCAACCGAGGACATGCTCCTACTGCAAACATTTACAGCGTTGTCAGACTGAGATCTAGTAAGAGGGTGGTCAAACAGTAAGTTTTTATTATGAAAATGCAAACTTCCCAGGGAACCCGTCTCTCTAGAGGAAGCAGCAACATAAACCTTGGGGTCTCTACTGCTTTTCTGTGTTGACAAAATATTGTTTGAAGACCTGGCAATTGCGCTGTAGGCTTTTCTTCTAGGAGAAGCTCCACCTGGGCCACATGAAGTCACTGCATCAGATACCTCCTCCGGCTGGCTCACGTTCCAAGCCCCTACCTTCTCCATGAAACTGAGCGATGGGAGAGACTGAATTCGTCCAGTGTGGGGATATTTCAATTTTAAGGACTCAAAATGTTCATTTTTTTCTTTCTGAGCACATTGGAGTAAATGTTGCTTCTCAACAGATACGTGTGTACTGGTAGACAAGGTCCCTGAAGTTTCTTCATTTAAGCATGAAGGAGAGGCCTGAACATCTGATTTGATCACAAAGACACCAAGTTCTTCTGCCTTAGCATTTTTCTGTAGAAATACCCCTGGAGTAGACTGATAGCTTGGATGAGCAAAGTGTACAGAGAATGAGCCATCACCTACAAGATTAAAGGAAGGGGAAATGCCTGTAACTTTATGTCCCCTTTCTATAGAAAAATCTGAAATAGTTAATTCACTCCTGCCTGCTCCAGGTTCTACTTCCACTGGGGCTTCCTCACTGCATGAAGAAGGAGCTTCCATGTCAGTCACCACTAATTGTTTAGGTGCACAACCACTGGTGCTTGTCACCGTAGGGATAAACTCCTCTTTTTCAAATCTCACTGCAGGAGATCGTTGTTTCTGCTGATGATCTAGGAAAGCTCCCTGGAGTTCCTCAGTAACCGCCACAAACTTCAAGCTTTCAGAGCCATTTAAATCCACTTCACGTTCCTTTGACAGTTTGGCTATTTTAGAAGTCTTTGCAGAAGAAACATCTTGTGCATCTGAATTTTTACAATTGCCTTTCCTCAAATCATCAGACAAATTATTAGACAAATCAATCTCAGGAACAGTCTTTCCTTTATCCAGCTTCTCTGACTGCCTCATGCATCCTTCTGACTCACTCTCAGCCATTTTTACCTCTTCCTTTTGCATCTCTCCCTCACTTTTTTCTGAATTCTTAGTCAGTGCTGTTTTACAAGAGGAGTTTTCTGAAGATGAGAACTCATCAAGCCTCAGTAATCCTTTTTCTTTCTCTGAAAGCTCAAAACCAGTAGCTGGTACATTGCTGTCATGGAAGGAATGTTCATCTTTAACAGATGTGCTACAGGTCTGCCCTGCAAGAGACGCTTCCATTTGGTTCAGTCTATATGCCTTGGTTAGCATCACCTTTGAAACAGCGTTTCCTAAATTGTTACTTGTTTGGGGAATCGATGTCTCTGCATTAGTAACATTTTTACAGTCTTCATTTGCCTCCTTGCTCACAAGTAGTTGTCCAGAAAAAGAGGTTTGGTGAGACAAACCACCACTACAGCTGGCATCACAAGGTTCCACATGTCTGAATGGAAGAGGATGCTGGGACAAAGTGAAGCAGTCGCTGGGTGCATCAGAGGGAGATTCTGTGTCTGTCAGTGACGCAGCTTCACGGGTGTGCGAGGGCTTCGAATGCTCCTCAGACGCACCAGAAACATCAGGGACTCCTCTGTAAGAGGCAAGAAAAGTAAGTGAATTTCCGATCATATTTTTTATTTCGACATCCGTATGCTCTGCCTTAATGTAAGAGGCAAAAGTAGAACCTCACTCAAACAAATAACTGGGGTTTAGCAACATACACATAAATACATCCCTTAAACAGGACAAAACGAAGTGCAGAAATGTAAACAAAGTCCAAACAATATCAAAAGCCCTACTGCCCTATAAAATAAAGGTTTGAAAATAACATTAGTTTCTACTCAGTATGCCAATATTTTTCAACCTATTTAGGACTCAAGTATTTTTTATTAACAGAATGTTTATCAGTTAAATAAAATGTAGGAGTTGCTTACACACACACAGAAATTTGTGTGTGGTGTTGGTTTTTTTTTAAGATAAATCACCTACTTCAGTTTCATCATATCAATTATTTTTTTAAAGGATATAAAACAAGCCAGGTCTCAGATGAAGACAAGCAACAAACTCCTATAAACTTCTAAAATTTTTATTGTGGCTTTTTGAATTAATAGTTATTTTATGTGAAAATGATCATCAAACCCCAATTAATATTACTCCATACAAGTAGATCACCAGCTCTGGTGGAACTAAGTTCTGACCCACAAAGTGAAGCCGCGGTTTAGCACATCAGGAAACAAATCTGCCTCCTGTCACACACCGAAAAAAAGTACAAGGAAGCCTAAACATCAATGACTCTGTAAATATATGTATTTATACACATACTTTCTTTTTTCTCCTCTTTTTAATAAAGGGTAGAGGATTTCTTGCCTCACCTTGAGATCAAGGCTTGCACAAAGACTTTTACTGAAATGGGTATTTCTTTATGTATTCATGTTTTATATAAAAATATGTATTTTAAATTACACATAACATATAATACTCCAGCATATACAAGCTGCAATATTATTAAATGTGTATGTATGCACGTATTTACTCCTGTAAATACAAATTGTATCTGATTTTTGTCCCCAACATTTCATGAAGTTTATTTCAGAGTCTAAGAAAGCTAAAGAGATGTCTGGGAGGGTAGTGTTCCTCATTTTCCCATTTTATTCAGGTACATTAGGTGACAAGTTCAGAAGAGGCTTGTTCTGGTTCTCCCTTGTTCAAACTCTTTTGAAGGAAAAAATAAAAAGATGAGTAGAACTCTGACAATGCCTTCTGTCTATACGAAACAAAGAGTAAACCACACCTTTGTCTTATTTCTGTGACCATAAAACTGTAATTATTTAATTATCAAATGTAGGACAATTCATGGCCACTCAGGAAAAAAGGTTTGCGTTCTGTCGTGACACCAGGTAGCTTTACCCTACCTTAAGGGAATAAAATCCATTTCTGATTGCTGGAGAAGCGTCTCATCTGAAAACCTTTGGCCTTGTATTGAATACATCAGCAGTGGAAGACGGGGAGAGAATTGACTGTCCTGAATATCTGTCAAAAATAACAATAACACAGTAATAAAAGCTTGCCAGGCAATCCTTCTTTAAACTGCTCTGCCTTCAAAATTCAAAAACATGCCAGCTGCAGTGAAAATTATATAATCCCATCATTTAAATCCTCTGCTGAAGCATATTCTCCCATGTATTAAATTCAGCTTCTTATCACGTATCAAATTCAGGTTTCTTCTCATCAATCTCAAAATGCTACATGACACTGACATCTCTAAGCTACCCTCTTATCCTTAACCTTCTCCCTGTGCACATCCATACCCTGTTCCACTCACCTGTCAGCACCTCCCCTCCTGATTCCCATGCAGTCTGTACGCATCGGGCAACGTCCACAGGGCTCCTACCCAGATCACCATTTACCTCTTTAAAAACCAAGAATCCTCACTGATGCCCTTCCCAGTCTCCATTTTTCCATAAATTTTGATTATAGCAAAGGCTGCATAGGTTTTTCTCATTAGGGTTTCAATAATAAGTATTTCAATAATAATAGTAAAAATAAAACTATTCAAAATTAAGTATTTCAGTAATGATAATAATAACTTAGTCATCACAATTATACTAATACCACTGTCTACAACTGCAGCAGTAAATTTTAGTTTCTATCATATATTTCTTTGTTCTTTGAGGTAGTTGGCACTTATTTTTCCGTTCAGTGCTTACAAAAACAAACAGAATGTTTTATACCACAAGAATAAAAGCAACTATAAGCTGGTACTTGATAAGTGTAAATGACTACATACACATTTGATGGATGCAAAAAAAAATTACTTCCAATACTTTGCTAGCTAAGCTTTTTTTAAAGCAAAAAAGCTATTTGTCATCAAGAGTATGACTTTCAGAACTAGGATTCATATTTATTGAATTCAGGTTCATTAGTTTTCAACCATCTCAAGCTCTGTATCACTTCCAGAAGCATGATCACATCAGATAAAATGACCATTACATACAAAAAAATCAAGTTTACATTACGTCAGCTTTATCCTGAGGCTTTCTACAGTCTGTATTACATCACTTGATGAGCATTATTGAGCCACAAGATGACCTTTCTGATTCATTTTTAATTTAATACTTCCAATTAACATTTTTTAAATTACTTTAGAACATGTGTAGTAAGTAGATAATTATATGGATAGAAATAATTCTACATCGCACAGCAAAACTGGCTTACAATTTGGATGACCCCTAGTCCCACCTCATCATCAACTAGAAAATTAAGAATATGACTGTTATACAGTTTCAAAGACTCCATTCCATCTCGGCAGCTGTCTCCACCACATGGCCAGGCTAATGTCTCCTAGAGGAAGCCAAATTTATACTTTAGCATCTGTAGTACAGATGGCACAAACACGCTACAGCAACTTAAGTGGGGAGTCTTTGTTTTTCTAGGACCCAGTACCTCTTTAAAGCTAAGATCTCCCTGCCCTTACTTTATTAGATAAATGCCTTGCACTAGTCACCACTCCATTTCATTTGCGTTTTAACTAGGTGCAATACCAAACATGAATGAAAAGTTAAAAAAGCCACCTGCTTTTTTGGAAGTTTACAGGAAAGGAAATGATATGTATCTTAAAAAAAAAAAAAAAAAAAAACACAGTTATGAATAGCTTCTCCTGAACAACTTGACAGGAGGAGGCATTCAGAAGAGGCTCTAATGTAGATTGTAAACACCTGTGCAAAGCTGGATGGAAAAATAGTTATAATACACATGGAAATGTAAAAAAAAAAAAGAGGGAAGAAAATGGCAGCATCAGCATAGAGGGAGCAGGAGCTAAGAAAATAAGGAACAAGGTCAGGGGTGTCTCATTTATAATATAACAGACCCCTGAGGCGCTGTTGTATTATAGGGCACAACCATAACTGTGGTCGAAAGTACCAGACTGATCGGTACTTATGTGATTTACATCACAATTTGAATGATGATTTAAAAAACACAGAACAGGAGAATGATCTAATTCACTGTAAACTCCTTAGCACCTGTTTAAAATGTACTTTACAGAAAATAAAGAGGTTTGTTCTAGGTGGCTGATACTGACTTAGAACCAAATACAGCTGCACATTATATTCCTTATTCCCAACCACTAACTGGGAGTAGATCGTATTTACAGTGCATTTATTCAGTCTGGTGTACATTTACTCAAACAGTTTTCTGTTGTTATGCTTGAAAATACTGACTAGATTAACTATAGTTAGCTTGGATACAGAACTGCCTTAAAGATGCAAAACCAGGTATTTTGAGAAACATTAAGCAAGTTGAAATCTAAACTATCTCAGCTGTGTTAGATGTACTTTTTCTCCCTCTCAAATCTTGTTTTACATTTAAAATTATATTAGTGAATAAAGGCAATAGTAATTGCCGTTATCAAATTAGACTTGTCATCTCACATCATGATACACTTCATGTTTTCAGAACTGGCATCTCATTTTTATTCACACAATAGAAGAAGAAAATAAGCTTTACTGATTTTCAGCTTAACATCTTCACTTTGAATGAAAATGTGTTTTCAAGCTAAACTGAAAATCAAGAGTCATTAAAGAAAAAGGTTTTCTGCACAGTAAAGACTGGGTGCTGTCTTTGTAAATGAAGAAATAAAAAAGACTGACAGAGGGAACCAAAAATAATGGGGAAAAAAAAAAGCTGTCAAATGCTGTCAAAAATAGAACTTGTCAACCAATGTTTTTTAATCTAACTACACACGTATTGATAAAATAAATGTGCATATACACCTATATACACACACACACACAACATAAACACAACATTTGGCTGATAAATCAATGTTTTAAAGATCTATTATATCAACAAAAATTTAAGTACCACTCAACATTTGTATTAAGTCAACACAGCACTCAAGCTGATGAAAAATGATTCATGCATTCTCCAAGCAGGATTATAAACGGGAAATTCTCACTGCATGGGTACGCATCTAGTCAGTCCCTTCCAGAGCCATTCTTGTCCCTGCCCTACTGGAAACTTCTTAAGGACTTCAGGATTTCTGAAGGCACACAGATGAGGCAGATCTTTGCCAAGCAATAAATATCTCACTGCACAGACCATTGCTACAGGGCAGTCTGGGTCCCCTGGCATCACAGCATGGCAAAGGATGCGAGTTTTAGTATCACAAGTTCAGTCATACTATGGGGGGAACAAAGCAGCCCAGCAAATCTAAGAGAGTCAAGAACCACCTCAGAAAGCAACAACTTGGATGAGGACTTGGGGTCATGACAAACAAACCACTGAGAGGCCAGTGCAATGTTGTATCCAAAATGGCAAGCAAATTTTTCATACATATTAAAAGCAGAATAGTGAATATGTAGTAACAAGGACTAGTCTTTCCACTCTTGTACTGAAACTACTATTGAAATGGTATTTGCAGGGTCTGATGACCATAACATTACAGGAGGATCAGCTAAAAGATTGAAGAAACATGCCTCATCACAAGAACCTCCTGGAAGTAAATCTGTTTAGTATAATCAAAGAGAAGATTAAGGGTGACTTGATTACATTTGTATGTACGTATGCAAGAACAGAAATTTGGTCATTAAGGGCGTTTCACTTCAGATAAGATATAACAAGAATCCAACATAAAACACTGAAGCTATGCAAATCTTGGGTAACAAGAAAGATATTTCTTAGTGCGTTGACACTATACAACAACATAGCTGGCTCCCTGCAAAATGTGCAAGGCAGTTTAGGTAGATCCCAAATGGCTTCAACAGTTATTTGAACAGCACAAATAAGTCTCTTCCCTCCCTCCTCAGTCTCTTACATGTAGTCCTGAAGAAGCTCGCTTGAGCTCTCCATCTCCATTTGAAGCAATAAGACGACACCTCAGCAAGAAGGGACAGCCCCAGTCTCTCCACCCCAGCCCAGAGATGTGTTTCCCCCTCCTTTTTTTGCACAAGCAAGAGAACTCTGATCCAGCTGAAATGTAACCATCTCCACTTCCAACCCTACCATCACCTTTCAGTCTGACCAGCGTGCTGATCTGATCGCACCGATTCACACAGTGGGCTTAGCAGAGGGGATGCAGCAGGAACAAGTATGCAAGACAAGGAAAAGCCACACTCTTCCTTTTCCGTAGCAGAGTTTAGCTGACTAAATATATTGCAAAACCATACCCTCAGACTCGCCTCCATTTCAGGCAGTCCTGCTCCCCTGACTTCTCCAAAGAGCATTCTGGCTTTGCTGTATAGCAGAAATCTATCTTAGGCTGACAGTACCTGACCTTCCCTAGAGGTTTCCAGTCTGAGGAGCAGTGGTGATCACTGACTTAAAGCAGCAGATGACTGACAAGGCTAGGAAAGAAGAGTAAAGGCAAAAAGGGAACGGAAAAAGAAAATAAAAGGGGGAAAGAGAGTAGTTGAGATTCACTGCAGGCACATCCTCGGTAAAAACCAAAACCCTCTCTTCCAGCTTGTTCCCTGCAGCAACATGCAGAGATGACCTGTAAAAGCACCCTTAACAGAGTTCAAATGATGACATTTAACTGGGGCTACAGAACCAAATTTTTAATATATGTAAAATGTAACTTCAGCCCTGTCACCTGTTCTACTTCCTTCAGCTTTTCTGAATCTTATAGCACGAACTCTAATGTTTTCAGTAACTTATTTTCTTCAGGAGGCAGAAAGATCATCGCTATCATATTCTGGATGCTTATGATGATTTAGGGGCTCATTACGCTCAGACATAACCTAGGTTTTGCAGGCAGAGAAGCAGGTGCTCGATGCTTAAAGCAGCAAGTGACGTCAGTACAACACTCTTCGAGCATCTTGTGTCAAAACAGTAATTCTTCCCGCTGTCGCTCTGAAGGTCAAAAGCTTCCTCACATTTGAATTCACTGAACAAGCAAAGCTGGGCATGCTACTTTATCTTACAGCCTGCTGACAATTCTGAATGCCAGAGTCAAATTGCCATTTGTGGAAGATAAAAAAGGAAGGCAAAACAAAAACAAAACCTTCTTGGCTTTGTCAATCTGTTCCACAATGTAGCAGGAACAATTTCAATACAACTGTCATTGTGATTTCCCCCCCACTCCCTAAATGAAATTCAAAACACTTTTTGAAAAGAAGGAATAAATTAGTATTATAGCTTATGTTTCTTCCTTCCCTCTCACCTTTCCTCCCATATCTGGAAATTTCAGTGCATATACAAAAAGGCTGTAGCTACTGGCACACTCACTAGAGAGCAACAAACAAAATATCAGCAGGATACAGTATTCTTACATCTTTGTATCACATTAAAAAGCCTTATGCTTTCTCTTTAATTCCAGTTGCATCTGAAATGCAAACCTTGACAAATACCAGGAAGTTTTTCTTGATTAAATGGATTCCAGTTCTACAAACCACAATAACGTGGACAAAATGCTATAAAACATACTAAATACAACAATCCTATATAGAGGATGTAGGCAAAAAGAAAGCATGCCTTGGGCCTCAGAGGGGTTCAGTGTGAACCAGAACCTCTGGATCCAGTTCCAGCAGAGATGCTCTCTCTCCCCCTACATGCTCTTTCGCAAAGCATTATCAAAATAACGACAAAAACTGATAAAAATGAGCAAGAGCTGCACATTCTCATAAAATAAATAATTCTCATAAATAAAACAGCCAAACTCATAAAACCCTCAGGAGTTGTCATGAATGTCTACCGATCTATTGCCAAGGCAATTTCAACTCCATCCCCCTAAGCTTTTGCTTAACTTCAAAACAAACAAAAACCCAAAAAGCAACCTACATTCAAGTAAGATTACACAAGCAGGTACAGGAATAGCAAATTGCAAGTTGAACTTGCAGTTACCTGGAAGCAACACAGGTTTATTTTAAAGTATCACAAGCAATCATGCTATTTGCCTACAACAATTTTGTTTGTGAAAAGAACCTAGCCTGGTGGTGTAGCAAAGGCAGCTTTTGAAGCACCTTTATTCAGCAATTTCAGTTACATCCTGAAAAAGTGAGTCACAGATTTAATAACCTAATGAGCAGGGTAACACTTGATTTTGCAGAGTGAACCTCTAAGGAATAACAATACAAAAAGAAACACTTTGGGCTTAGTAACAGTATTGTTAAGTTATGCGTTTCCAAGGAAGTGTCTGCAAGTATATGCATAAAAAGAGTCAAGGTGGTGTGTCATAAAAGTAAAGAAGAAAGAAAAGCAAGTGTTACCAGCAAGTAAGAAGTTAACAGATGACATTACAGTAAGTTACAGTATACATACACAAAGGTTTGGGCAGGAAAAGTTAACCATTCAATTGGAAATGAGACAGAGCTAACTTTGAAAACCAAAAGTTAACATACAGCGCATGATCAAATTTGATGTTTGAGCATTTAGGAGTTGGGGGGGGGGGGTGGAATCTACATCTGAATGCAACAACTGCTAAACTAAGAGCAGAACCAATGGATAACAGACATGGCTAGGGGTCTCGTGAACAATTGTTTACCATATTAACTTGGATGCATAAGGAAGCAGAAATGCAATAAACTGAAATAACACAACTGAAGTCAGACAAGCAAGGGAAGTGTTCCAGCTTGGGGAACTAAACCAGCCATCGATAAGTCTTGGCTAGTTTGTCTTCCACAGATAGCATACAAGAGAAAGTAAATCACTTCAGCTATATGAGTATTGTTAACTATACATTCCTTAGTTCTGCTTTTGCTGGTTTTGGTTTCATTACATGCACATGTACAAAAAGGGAAAAGTAGAATTCTTTACAGATTAATTGCCACAGCTGAAGCTTGAAGTTAAAAAGCAAGAGGAAAATACAAGCAAATAAAGGTAACAAGGAAAAATAGGTCTGATAGAAGTTGGCTTTATTTCCAAGAGAAAAAAGTTGATCTTGTTGGGGACAGATGTGTTCCCTATGATTAACAGCAATGAGTGAAAAAAGTAAGCAACTCTGTTTCCACCATTTTGAGGATTATAAGAAATTATTACAAAGAATCAGTAATACCGTTTGTGTCTTAAGATGCAGAGAATAATGCTGCATTATAACAAGAAGTTTTCTTTTTCAAAGATGTACTACTACCAGCAGGCTAAAAATTATACCACCCAGAATTGACCAGAATACTCTAACTCCACATGGATGAAAATTAATGTCATCAAGAAAAGGTAAAGGTGAAATATTAAATCTTGGAACTTCTCAAACCAGTCTTTTAACTGTGATGATTAGATGTGAAAGGAAGCAATAGAAATGCTTAGCTTTTCTAAAGTAGAGGTGTTAGAACTGGAAAACATTATTGGCAGTAATATAAATTGCACCCAAATGCAAGTGATAACAATAAGGACTACTAATAGAATATTAAACACTGGAAGTAGTGGTTTATTGCCAGAAAAATATAAATAATCTGAACAGTCATGGCATGGCAGGGAAGAGGGGGCAGAGAAAAACAAAAACTAAGTGCCTAGATTGGTGTAAATTCCAGGCATGGAACACAATACAACCATGTCATTAGGAGAAATAAAAACCAGGATATTTTATGTCAAAAATAAAGATGACTGCCAAATAATAGATGCACAATCCCCACAAGCATTACCAAAAATAATTCATCAGTTACTTTGGATACTTAAAGTGAGAGTCTGATGCATCTCTAACGGTATATTAATAGAGCTAAAAACATGTTATGAAAAATGGAGTTATAACTAATTCATCTGTCCTACAAGAATACAGCCTGAAGAATGCTGTACTTGAATGCAACAACAACTACCTGCATGCAAGCACCAATTAGCAGTTAATGTTTCTCTCACCTATGATACTGGAAACAGCTGCATGCGTGTTCTTTCCCTGTATCAACCCCGGGGGGGGATCACATCAGCAAACTGAACTCCACATGGAAAAAACAGTAATGTCCTTCCTGTGTATATCCAGGATGAAACATCTACAGCGTCCACCCATATCATGCATTAGCTAATCAGAATTATACAGTGTAAAAGAGTGCTACACTGGGATTGATATGGCTGGAACAAACTTACTGGTGAATCACAATAAATAAAGAGCTAAAGTACGAGAAAGTATCAAGTCAGAAAACTCCATATTATGTTAGAAAAGCAACAGCTATTATGCTTAAGCGATGCAGAAACCCTAACTACTCATCACTGGCGTATTATTCTTAAAGGATGCTCACAGCTGTATTACAATCAGGGTTTTAACATCCCACAGGTGGGGTTTTTTTGTATTTCAAATTGCATTGTCAATGATAACACTTATAATACTCTGCACACAGGTTTTTACATGTTAGCTCTATGAATAACACTAGTGAAGATAGCACACCTATTGAAAAAGCACTCTGAGGCCCAGATGACCAATATATTGGAAATAAGCAACACTCATATTAATGTGGTACATTTCAGTAGGGGTATTGTCCAAACCCAGAGAAAAATGTAAGAACTTGTAACAAAGATATTGATATGAATGAAGTAAGAATGTGTGTATAAACTTGTGTTTAAACACCAGAAGAGAGGGCTCATTAGCAGAAGGTCCTGTGCTCTGTCAACTGGAGGATGACAACAAGGTTGCTGCATTTCATATACACATCTCCTCCCTCTGACAGCCCTGCAGGAGAGCAGACTACAGCAAAGCACCACCCCAGGACTCGCTAGCTAGTATGCATCAGCTGTCATGTCACAGGCAAGCTAGACCACTTGGGGGAAAAAATAAAAAAAAAAAAAAAAAAAAAAACCCACATTAAAAAAGAGTTGGTGCTTGTACGTGCAACTAACACCTTCCCCTTCCATGTAGCCTTTGTCATGTTAACTTCCTACATAAGCAAATCCTTTTATCTGTTTGGGTTAAATCTTGAAGTAGTACAGTACTTCTAGCTATAATTCCTCAGTTTTGCCTCTTATCCAAAAAGGAATGCATATACTGATCAGTTAAAAAGCAGCAAGATACTTTTGTAAAAGGCTATTGAAAGCCTCTTAAAACTGTATTTGGACACTACTTTTGGCTACAAAAAAATCCTGTAAGAAGCAGGGAAACACAGAAGCAGTAAACAGTAGTTTGAATATATGAGAAAGGAGTGCAAGCATGCATGCACTCTTATCAACCAGTTTTTCATGTTATCAATAGAATTACAACTACTACTGTATCTACTATTTTCAATTTAACAAATATTTTTGACTAACAAATTAATACAGATTTTAAGAACACAGAAAACTATCAGCTCACCTAGAGAGAGCCCTATTTACTATTAATTCTAAAAGAAAACAAGACTACAGTTTTACCTGAGACCAATGATAATTGGTTTACCTGTAAAAAGACTCAGGGAAGGTACACAAGCCCTCTATCTCATGTTGAAGATGGGCTTTGGCAATAAAATTACACAGAACGTATTTTGTAAACACCAGTTATCACTAAAACAAGTCAAATCCAGGGTATTTATTGATTTAAAAGGAAAAGTAAAATCCTAATTGTTTAGCAGTTAAACAAAAGGCAACTTTGACATACCCAGCAACAAGCCATGTGCTCTATCTCCAGAAGAGTGCCTTCTAGATGCTTCTGCTGAAAGCAACACTCCTTCCTCCAGCGTAGGGAACTCTGTCAGGTCGTTCCTGTCACAAGTCAGGCCAAGCTTTGTCTCTGAGGCAGTAGTTAAACGGCTGGCATCCACTTCTGCTGGAAGCTGATACCATGACTCGATTCCCTAAGAACAGGTGAGGACAAAAAAAGTGCTCAAGCATCAAGGAAGTTTTATAAGACATATTTACAAAGGAAATAATGACTAAGTTGTGAAACAATGGAATTATTGCTTCTAAACTGTATTTCCTATGCACATACTCAATTTTTAATGTAGATGAATTATGATGCTCTGTGAACTGAAGTTCATATCCACAAGTCAGTTCCCGCTACTGCCTAAGTTGTCATCGCCCACTATCTGATCACCAGCCTTTCATCACTTGACTGAAACTGAGCTCCATCGCCAAATCCAGCCACTGAAGAAGACTTTTTCCAAACGAGAATGAAATCTCTCACTCAGGAAGAAAAATCTTGATAAGGACAAATGCTTTAGTAGGATGCTGGACCAATACAGTTCCTGACACTGCATAATAAAGATGGTTTGCATTGTACATCTGGGGAGCAACAAGCAGAACAGTTTCTGATTTATCTTTAAAGAAATTTTCTAGTTATAGAAATTCTGAGTTCACACAGATAATGCCTGAGAACCCTAGCCAATTCTTTGCTGTATTTTAAGAAAAAGACTTTCAGTTCTTGTTCAAATGGAAAGAAGCATCTTTAGTTCACACAATTCATTAAAGAATTTGCATTGGGATTACTGGGGAAGTAATTAAACAGATAAATTTTAATTATAGAAAAGGTACGGACCAGTCTTCAGTGCAGAGAATTAAGAATATCAACCATTCATAAGGCAAACCTTTATCATCAGCATATATAACTTATAATTACATATATGTTAATATAAGCAAGAAAATGTCCCAGTGAATTGGTAGAAGTACAGTACTATCTCTACTTAATAGCTGCAAGCTCTTCTACATTTTGAAATACTACCAAGGTATCAAAAGCTACTTTTCATATAAGAATTTTGCTATATGAACTATAATTTTTTGCACAAGATTATTATAATCATTTGGAAATAGAATTTTTGATCAAGTCAGTCTTTTCAAAACATCTGTGATCTTACGCAATTCTCAGAATAATTAAATATTTAGCAGCATATCCATCAGATAGAACTACTATGACTGTATCATGATGTCAGTACAGTTTGCCTTAATCACATAAGGAACACGTCATTAAAATCAAGGTCTAAAAGTAGTCAGATTTCACATGAACTGAAGCATGGCTCTGTGCTAACATGTAAAACAGCTATTTTGAGGTAGATAGATCTGACAATTTGAGGCAGACAGATATGACAAGTTAAGAGGCAGTAGCAGGACCAGGATTATAGCAAATTACAAACTGAGTACAGATCAAAGATACAGTTGCAAAGAAGACATTACACCGGAAAACATACTAGGTTTATAACAAGAAAACAGCAAGGGGAGAGAAAAATAAATACATAAATAAATAAACAACACACTGAACTTCAGGGGATTCAGTTATGAATGAAAAACGTCAAAAAGCTTTGCAGCACTTGGATCAAGACTAGACTAGAGGACTTGTCAGAATTCACAAGTCCCGTTTTTCTTCAGTTCCAAGATATAGAAACACAGACCTTTACAAAGCAAGGTCAGCGGAGGTCTAAATTATACAGGTAACGCACTCCATATTATTTTCAAACACCTTCAACTACAAGCAAAATAAAGCACAGTACAAGTACCCAGTTAGCAGCAGTTTTCTGACGTATTGCTTCTCCTAGGGAGATCCCACTGGTTACCGACGCCTGGGTTTCACTACTGCTGCGGCTTAAGGATTCCTCTTTCCAGCCACAATGTGGTGGAGTTGTTGCAATAGGCTAAAAGAAACAATATGCGTTTTTAAAAAAGAAAACAGTTTCTTGGTATTTCAACATGTGTACATATTTAAGCAATGGACAATTAAATATATAAAATACTCAAGCCATCCCTAGTGCCAAAAGTTGGGAGTCTAAACTCACCTCAACATACTCAGGCAGTGACCTAAATCCCATCCAGCATCCCAATACTTCACTAAAAGGGCAGGCTCATTTGCCACTTTAGATCCCAAAAAAACAATAAGCATGATTTTCTGCGCATTAGCCAATTATTTCCAAGGGCCAGAAATTAATTTCCTAGTCCTAACCCATGTACATGCAGCTCTGAGTAAATCACAAAATACCAGAAAGACTTATCACTTTGATCGAAGTCAGGTTCTGGCACTTGTCCTGTCTGGTTTATTAACAGTGGTTGTTGGGGTTTTTTAACAGTAATTTTTTTGCTTGCTTTTTATATTTATTATTTTATTAATAACAGAAGGTTTTTACTTATTAATGTTGTAAACTAAATTTTAAAAGCCATCTTATGTAAATATCTTAAAGTAAGCCTAAGTTGATTTCTGTATTATAATTTAGCAATACCTGACATACTTTGAGGGCATGAATTGAAGTTAAATTGGACTTCTGCCTAGAAAAGCAGCTGTAACATTTTTTTTTCCCACGAGGTAGCAGAGGAAGCTGTTCTGAAGTCAGAATTAAAATTTCTGTTCCATAATATCCCATGCCTGAGGTCACAGCAACTGTAAGAGTTTTCCCAAGACAAGACAACCAGCCAGGTTCAAACACAATGGTATATAATTGTGAAAATAGGTATTTCTGGAACATCAAGGTTCAGCCCAAACAAAAGGGTTCCAGGGAATTAGTTAAAAAAAACCCTGGAGAGTAGCACTGGAGAGTATCAGGTACTATTACTAATGCAGCAATTTAACATGAAGCCTCAACCAGAAGGACTAGTAGCTCCCCCACATCTAGTACCCCTCCCTGTCCTCCTCATCTTCCTCATGTCAACTCTAGTTCCAATTTAACTCACCAATAATAACATTTTAAAAAGCCAAGCTAGCCTTGGAGATATATTTTAGTGACCACGCCAGCAAATTTTCATTCAGTAGCACAGATCTACCTTGGTGGACTAAGCATACCATTTGCAACCTTTATCACAAAAAAAGCAAGCCATGACAGTTTTCATGAAGACATTCATTACATTCTAAGAGAAGGAATCGGACACAAACTTAGAGAGAAGTCCAGAACACAGACCTGTTTCAACATAAAAGAAAGATGTCAAATTCCACATTTGAGATTGTTTTCTTTAAATGTGAATATTACCTACTAGATTAGCTAAACTGACACCTGAGCTCTGTTTCATTCTTCTTATGCACTAAAAAGCTGTGAATAAAAGCTTGAGAGTTTTTTTTTTTAATTTATTACAAGACTGCTAATCCAAGAAAGGTGAGTTCACTCTTGACTATTTACGGCACCTCACCTGAATGCGACTTATACAAAACACAACATCTTCAATCCCCCTACAAAAATATACATTACAGCCATCACAGGTTTATCTTTATCCATCTCTTATGTTCCTAAGAAGCCATTCATTCTGCCACGGAGACAGCAAATTTACAAATTTCAGAGATAAGCTGAGGAAAAGCCCTTCAGTTCTGACTCACCTGTTGAAGAGACACCTTAAATAATCACCATCGCAGTGGCTGGGTTGTCTCCTACAGAGAGAGAGTCTAGGCCTTCCCTCTACTTCCCAATTACCAGGCATCTAGCTTATTTTCACACATACTAAGTCTAAGAACATGCAGAGCTGAAGATGAACTGAACTGCTCTTGCCTTTAAAGAGCATTTGGTCAGGAGACTGCTAAGTACCACTGGCAAAGCCTCCCAGGGACTCCCATTCGCTTCAGCCCCGATTCTGCCCTTAAACTTCCTCCCTGGAAACTCCAGCCCACTTCACTTGTAAAATGAGGTTCCAGTCCAAGATTTTTTTTCCTTTCACCCCTTAAACACCCAGTTTTTCCTTTCAAATAAGCCACTTGCTCAAATGTTTGATTACAAACTAAAGAACACCATTGGGGCAACACTGCTGCATTTTTCAGGCACTGTTATAAAAACTTCAACTCTATGTAGTAATCGCAGAAATTTTAGCTTTTGGAAGGACAACAACTTCCAGAATTTCAGTACCATATGCCATCTTAAATCCTTCCATAAAACAGCATCACTGAAATAAAAAAATAACGCAGCCTTCTATGCAGGTCAGCGCTGTCAAGTAAATTACTTGGAATGGCAAGAATATTTTTGTCCGAGTTTAAAAAAGCTATAGCACTCAAAAGGAAGATGTTTATTACTGATGATGTGTAAATCACGCCTATGAAACTAGGACTCAACTAGGCAGAAACTACTCTTCCAAAATAATTCCCTGCACAAAATAAGTTTGTTTGAGCTTTGTTTTGGGACTAAAGATAATAATTGTAGCCTTTATGCATATATTCAGTCACTATTGCATTCCCCTAGTTCCTATTGTTCATACTAATCAAGTCATTAAAAGAAGCAGCACTGAAGTGTATGTGACAATAACTCTGAAGGCAAAGCGTTCCAGTAGCTATTTGGTAATTTAATTAAGGCCTATTATTGAAAATTTGTTTTTACAATATGCATCTTCAGAAAAGGGCAATTTTATTAGTCCATCTGGAAATTAATAGCATTAGGTAAGGGACCTATAGTGTGATTAGAAAACTAATTCCAAAAAAAAAGGTCCTGATTTTATTTAGATATGCTGAGCATAGCTAATTAAGTGGGTGTTCTAGAGGCTATCAGGAGGGATGAGTAATGACAGCATTCAAGATTCACACAATGAACAAAAGACTAAACAACCAAACTGCACATTATTCTTCATTCTCCCCTTTAAAATGACCTTCAGTAGCCTATGGTGAGCAACTCCTCTCAGAATCGTTTCATTACTGATATACCTATCAGCCACTTCAATTATAATTCTTTTCCTAGGCTTCAGCAGCTGCATGGCAGATTTCCCTCACTCTGCCCACCGGTATGCCAGAGGAACCACGTTGCATGAAGACAACTCTTCAGTTCCCAAACCCTACCGATTAATGTGCTTTCAGGAAAAAAAAAAAAAAAAAAAAAAAAAGAAAAAAAAAATTGACCTGTCAACTTAAAATATGACCGAGGTAGTAATTTCATTAAACCATACAGCCAAACTCTGAATTTCAGCCTTTTCCTGTACAGTTTCAATGCACCTGAAATGACACATTCTTTGTCACAACACTGCAAGAAAAATAACAAAGTACATCATCTGAACAGTTTTCTTCTACATCTTCATCTTTTACCAAAATTTTTCATTATAGAATGAAAAAAAAAAAAAAAAAAAAAAAAAGCACAATTCACTATCACATGAGGTCAGCAAGAAACTTCCTTGGAGAGAGAATTTAACTTGAACAAGTCTTGGGCAATGGGGATAAAATGAGAGTACAGAAGGATAAAGTGCAACTGAGTTTCCACTTTGTGAAGATTTCTTTCCCAGAAGTACTTCCTCCTCCCAAACGCTCCCTTACCACTTAGAGTTTTCAAACCCCATTCATTTTGCATTAGAATTTGGAATAGGTTCGACCAGTCTTATTTTGGGAAAACAGAGCCAAAGACGTATCATATGCAGATTTCACAAGAAGAAATTGGTAGAGAAATGCTAATGAGTGATGATGCGATTACTACAAATAGCAATATTCTAGAAGATTCAGAGTACAATTATATCCAGAGCTACCAAAGGCTCAAATACTCAGTCACACAGAAGAGCAGGAAGGAATCGAAGTAGTATTACTATTGCTGAGAGTACTTACATAGCGCCTTTTTTCATAAACACTGATTCACAGCACTACTTTAGAATGTGCATGATAAATATTTATCCTCCTTTTAGTAGGCACAGAGAACTCAGTGTACAACAATACGGCAAATCAGCAGCAGAGCCAATTCCCTGAGTAGTCTGATCTGACCATAATGCATCTCTTATTTGATGCTCTAAAATTTCATCCGTCTTTGTCTGTAGGTTACGAGCGAAAGTCAAAAAGAACACCTACAGCATCACAAGCCAAGAAGATTAAAGCACGAATGTGAATGTGAGATAAAATATGAAATAAATGTTTGTATCACAATTAAATATTATTACATCCTTCACCTATTTTAATATTTCATGTAAGTAGCTGTTGTCATTGTCACAGTGATGCTATAGCATCATGAACATGAAAAGTGGTCTGCATAGTGGCAGAACTGTTGAGAAAAAATAGTTAGCATCAATTCTTGTTAAAACATAAATTAAATGATTTTACAGCACACACCTCCCTGATCTAAACAAGAAACATACTTTTTTGTTTAAGTAAGCAGGAAAAAAATATGACAGAAAAGAAAAAACACTCATTGTTAGTCTCCCAACTCCATCCAGGTTTACTAGCTCCAATTTCCAGCTCACTGTTTGCCAGCGTTTCTTATCAAAATGCCCATAAACTACTGATCTGTCTGCAGTGCTACTGGGGGGTGGGAGGGGAAGAGAACTGGAACTGCAGGGAGGGATATGAAGCAGGACCCCCGAGAAAGGAATATACTTATAATTTGTGAAACACGCTCCTTAGAAAACATCAGTAGCATTCAACCCAAGCAATCTCATGTGAAAGAAACAATTCTCATCAATGTCTGATTCTTGCAAGAAGACAACCATCCCGAAAAAAAACAGCCACCCGATAAACCAAAAGCTCTACAAATCCAGAGGCAAACCTACCACCCCAGCTTCAGAGCAGCCCACCTAGCAAATGCTCAGTGAAACCAATACAGTTACCCATTCCAGTCCCGCTATTTAAATCATTCAACTCTCGCACATCATCACAAGAACGTCTGTGTTTCTCTCAAACTGTATTAGTTGAACCAATACATTCCATAAAATCTTCCCAGAAAAACCTAAGACTTCTTTGAAGGAAATTTCAAAAGGGCAAACTCCAAAG